GGTGCAGGGGTCTCATCTGCAGATCTCAGCTGTTCCTTCTGTTTAGCTAGGAACTGCTGAAACATCTCCTGGAGGTCGGCTTTGGTCAAGTACTCACCTGCGGACTTGTGTTCGGGACCTACCTGTGGGCGGCGCTCCTTAAACCTTCCACTGTTCCGACCTGCTTGCCGTTGGTTTTGGTTGGGCCACTTCCTGTCTGATTGTCCAGACCTAGGCGGCCGATTAGCACCCCCCTTCCCCTGTTGAGGAGATTGGGACTGCTCTCGCGGTTTAACAGGTCTAGGTTTAGCAGATTTTGGCTTAGTGGGTGGAGCTTCTGTGCCTTCGAGCTCCAAACGCGGCTCGGTGTCGGGAGCTAGGTGCATGACGCGGTGATGTGCGTCAGGCTTTTGGGGCTTTCCGCCGGCTTCCCAAGCCTGTTGAGCGTATCTCCTAATCTCCTGAGTTGTCAGTTTTTTCATCCGACAATACATTGAGACTTCGGATCGAACACACTCGTGCAGGTTGTGAATGAACAGGGATCTGAAGGCAGGGTCTTCCTCGAGCCCAGGGCCGTTTCGACCTTGGAAATAAGCACTTTTGAGTCTGCGATAATACTCTCTGGGGGGTTCGTTTCTCCAGTGTTTGATGGAGAAGGCCCCCATTGTAGCTGACGCAGAGTCTGCATACGTGGCGTATTCATCCCTCAACGCTCGGCAGAGCGAGGAGTACCGATCACGAATGTCAGGTGGTAGAGTTTCCATGAAACCGTGCACCGTTCTAGATGTGGTTTTCCAAATTAGCTTGAGCTTTTCCCTTGAAGAAGGTGCTGGAAGATCAAGCAGACAACGTTCTATCTCCCTGAGATAATCGTCAACGTTGGATTCATTGGTGTTAGGATCAAAGCGTTCTATGTCTTTAGCTAGCGATTCAATTTGACGTACACGGAGCCCTGACTCACGGTACGGCGCGTCATCCTCTGACTCTGACCCACGGTCTGTCTCAGAGGGTGCTGGATATCGCTGGTGTGCTCTGGGCTCCCAATGTTGACTCCTGGGGCCCAAATCGGGGTCCGGCATGTTGTGGCGGGCTGCTGGCACGTCACGTGGGTGTCTTGGGAGGTCCTCCTCCCGGGGCACGTCTGCGTAGTGCAGCCTGCGTCTTTCAACTGGGGCTTCTGCGTAATACACTTTGTCCGGATACGGACTGGCGTATGATGCTTTGTCCTGCAGCTGGTTATCGGCATGCCGAATACCGGAGTAGCTAGGATGGGTAGATGGTTGAGGTGCAGCTTGGGGTGCATAACCCCAATCGGCACCTTGCACCCTTCGTGGACTGGGGGAGCGGTCTAAATAGAGGTGCCGCTCAGCTGGCCGACTTCTCACAGATTGAGAAGGCCGTGAAGATGAGGGTGGTGGTCCAACCTGGGGTTCGAGGGCGAACTGCTCTCGGCCCCTAGGTGGTCCTGAATGCCCTATAGTGTGTGTAGGGAACGGGGCCGAAGGTTGGAACAGATGAGCTTCATCTCTCCCCTGCGGCGTGCGTCCGTCCAGAGAGTCATGGTGTTTCCCCCCTTCCCACTGTCTGTTGTCATCAGCAGAGGGGGGCGGGGTCTCCTCCCCATCTTCCCCAGAATCGGTGCGGGTGTCGTCTTCCTCGATCAGCCTTCCATTTTGCTGTTTTTCAGCTAGCATACTCTGGAGGTTCATGATCTTCTGACCACGTTGGAGTCCTCTCTGATAGAGGATCAGGGCTAACTTAGCTAAGTGAACCTGGATTGGTTTTGTACCATCCGGGTTTTCTATTTGATCGATTACAGCGTCTAGCTCGTCGCTACGCTGTTCTTCAGTGAAATCCCTAGAAGGGTAGTCGGGTTCTCGAGCAACCGCGACCAGTTTGGACAATATTTGTCCAGAAAGTAGGCCAGGTTCATAGTCGTGGGCCGCAGCGCCACCTGGTTGCTGGGAGTTGGTCAGTTCACTACTCTGTCCCTCCATTTTTAACAACCGAACCAAAATAGCCTAGTAGAGCTTCTGCAGATAGCTCAAGCTGCACCTTTTGGGCAGCAACTGCTAGCTTTGTAGCAGAAAAACACTAAATTAACCTTTGTGCGCACAGGTTTTAGCGTTTTAAGATTGCACGGAATGCCGTGACTAACGCCTAAAATACTATTCCTTTCAGTATTTTAGCAAAAGCTGGTGCGTTGCCGTAGCAACGTCTTACAACACTTGCAGTGTTAAATATGCTAGTTATTCCTTCAGAATATTAGCAAACAGGGTGTTATCAGTCTTTGAGTGAAGGTTTCAGTTAGTTATAATAGCCACTGTGAGTTAAAGTCGCTAAATTAGCAGTTAATTTTAGCCTAAAAGGGTTAGTCAGAATTACTTACACGCTGCACCTTTAATGAGGAACTGAATTTTAACCTAAAAGGTTAGCCAGAATTAATTACATGTTGCACCTTTAAGGAAAAACTGAATTTTAACCTAAAAGGTTAGCCAGAATTAATTACACGTTGCACCTTTAAGGAAAACTGAATTTTTAACCTAAAAGGTCAACCAGAATTAATTTACACGTTGCACCTTTAAAGAAGCACTGAGTTACTGGTGAGAGTTCGATGCAGCTTCCTGCTCAGCGAAATCAGCACCACTCTGTTGCTGGTTCAAGGCTGAACAACTGATTATTTTTAATTCAAGCTCTTTGGATTTATTTGTTTGTGCCGGATAGAAATCTCTGTGTATCCAAGCCTCACACGGGGCACCAATAAAATGTTGGGGTTATTAGGAGCGAACAATTCGTAAGCTTTAACTTACTTTTGGATTCTTCAATAAATTCTGTAAATATGGAACTATTTACTGATTTATTAATTAATTAAGATATTCTTAGATATCTTCGGGGCACCACCCTTTAATTAGAAAGGGAAATGAATCCAAAACTCTTATCAGTCTTTCTTGAAGTTCGTAGAATCCTCGGAGCAGAGACTTCTCTTCGACACAACAAAGCTACTGGACACAAAAATCTGAATTTTATAACATTTAATTAACAATTTGTCAAATGAATAAACAGTGGAATAGATGAATAATAACCATGTGATATGATTGAAGATGGATGTGTTTGCATGTGATGGAGGATGTATGAATGGGGTCCTTTGTTCTCACAAAGGAGTAGTGTGTGTGTGTGTGTGTGTGTGTATGGATTCAAAATGGAGTCTTGAATACAAGATGGCTGACCCCTTTGTCTGGCTAAAGTGTGGGTGGCAACTTGCACTTTAACTTCCAAAGCACTTAGAATCAGTAGTAACTTAACCTTAAATCACTCAAAACATTTCAAAAGATCATGAAACAACACAAAAGATTAATCACGAATAATATCTTTTAGTTTAACCACGTGGCCAAGCAGAAAACATTTAAAGATACCAAACAATGATCAATAAGCAGTTTATTCTTTCAAAATGACCCGACTGACGTGTTTGGGACGAAAGAGGAAAGCACGAAGCTACTTTTTAAGCAATAGACGCGGTTTATTGCTTATTCGAGACTATAGAGGAAACGGGAGAAGGAAAGAATGAGAGAAAGAGATGAGTTTCTGATCACCAGAACAGTGAAGCGTCCCTCACTGTTTTGATTTGAGGGTTCTCCGTGTTTCTCCGCAGCTTTCGGCGTCGTCCGTCGGTTTGATGCTTTCTCCGTTGTTTGGCGTTCACGAGTGTTTCTCCACGGGCTGGACAGAGACAGCAAAGTTTCTTTCTGTGCTGAGTTATAACTTACAGCGTGCTTGATGGAGTTGTTGCTTTCCTCCGCAGTTCTGTGTCCTCAAACATCAGCTGGAGGGGAGCAGAAACGAGCAGATCTGATGGGCTTGCAGTTTAGTTTCCAGCAGTTCCGTGGGCTCCACTTGTGCACTTAGAGCTTCCGCGTGCTCAAGGGAGTCGGAGCGTTGACAAGCGTGTCCTTACCGCCAGGTATCCTGGGCAAAAGAACGAGGATTCTTTGTCTCTGCTGAAGATTTATGGTCTTAGTTCGCGGGAAAAGCTCCACGGCTTCCCGCACATGCGCAGAACGTGTTTCTGGTACTAGGCGGTGACGTCATCACAATGCTTCCGTGTGCAAAGCATCATGGGAAATGAAGTTTCTTGGCGCTGATGTGATTATTTGCTTTTCAGAGCAATTTAAGCACAGTCATTTTGGAGAAAATCACTGCATAGTAATTTCCTCATGAGGTCAGACCCTCAACATTCCCCCTTTTGGTTTCGGGGATCGCGCCCAAAGCTCGATCGTCGGAAGCACAGATGGGTTTGTTCCTCATGAACGTAGGTCGACTTGATTGTCGGAAGCACAGGTGGGTTTGTCCCTTAGGACGTTGGTCTCCTTGGACGCCTTTGTCTTTGGTCTTTGTCTTGGATCCTGGCGCCTTTGGTCTTTGATCCTGGTCAGGCACAAAGAGGATAGGAAACGGGATAGTCCCCAACGCGCATAACGAGAAGAAGCCACTCACGCAGGTGGTACGCAATGAAGATGTCGTCCATGCGAGAGGTAGTAGTGTAGAAGGAGGAAGGTCGGTGGGCGGTTAACTCCACGAGTGGACACAAAGGCATCTCACCGCCGGCCATACAGTTCAGTTTATGGAGCACGCGGTGATGTACGAGGTCCATAGTTCGCAAACGCGCATTGACCTATGTGGTCCCAAGACTAGGACTGAGAAAGCCCGGTCCCCGTGAGTACGACACCTAGAACGAGGGACAACGAGCAGGCCTTGGTCAGAGGAGCGCAGAGCGCGTGATGGGGAATGGGTCCCGCGGGTCGTTCCCGCGGGTCGGGGAACGCGTCCTGGAGGGCCGGTATCCTGACTTTTCTCTGTGTTTTAGATATGGTCTGAACCAGTTCATAGCTGTCTGTAAAAGTTTTCTTCCTTTCTTTCGCAATAAATCCACCGTAACTTTGGTACGAGACAGGATGCTTGTTTTATGTATAAAAACTTCAGATTATTTTATGTTTGTTCTAAAATGTCGTTTTCTGGCCTTCCAGATTGTGACGGCTGCTCCTCAGAAGTTTAAGATCGAAATTCTTCCAGTCGATGATGGAACGCCTCGCATCGTCACCAATCTGGGGCTTCAGTGGCTGGAGTACATGGACAACAAGGTCAGCCTTGAAACCCTAACCCAACTTCCCCTGAAACTGCACAGAGTGGTTCAAAAAGCATCTTCCCATGTTCCCTGGGAGACCCTGAACATAGCCAAAGTCTACCAAACAGATAAATGACATCAAAAAGCTCCTTACATAGACCTTTTTAAACGGCCAGTGATGTTTCTGGGTCAAAGCAGGTTGATAAAGTTGTTTTCTTGAGTTTTTTTTACTAGGGTTTGTACAGGTTAGATCGCTGTGGGAACATGACACACCAATAAAAGTATTCTGTGTTTGGGCGCACGCTTCCATTCGAGATGCATTAATATTAGCAGAAGAATGGTGACGATTGTTTTAGAGCTGGAAAACATTCGATGCCGCCATTGAAATCGACAAACTCGACGTGTTTGTAGGGCCAGCCCAGTGAAACCTCAGATAGTTCACCAGTTGTAGTTTGATCAGCTTTGTGTTTAAATGGTTTTCTGGTATCCTGACCAAACGTCTAAGTGAGTGCATAGAGTTGCATGAGTTGTTGGTGGATGAACAAAATGGATTTATAATAATAATAATAATGCATTGAACTTATTTAGCGCTTTTCTAGACACCCAAAGACGCTTTCACACACTCTCACATTCACACACTGCTAGTGATGGTAAGCTACTTGTAGCCACAGCCCCCTGGGGAGGTCTGACAGAGGCGAGGCTGCCATTTGGCGCCGTCGGCCCCTCTGACCACCACTAACACAGGCAAGTTGGGTGAAGTGTCTTGCCCAAGGACACAGCAGCAGGATACCCCTGGCGGGAGCTGGAATCGAAACCATGACCCTCCGATCATGAGGCAACCCGCTCTACCACCTGAGCCACTGCTGCCTCGTTTACGTTTTATCCTCTGTTGTGAGGGCAAGACATCAGGAAGGCACGAGTACTTTTGTGTGTTTAGTTGATTGTAAAAAGCATTTCATTGGGTAAATAGAGAGCTTCTGGAGTATAATTTATTTTCTGCTGGCATTGATGGAAATTTGTATTAATCTACTAAGGCGTTATATAAGTTACCAATAACTTGTGTACAGGTGAGTCATTTAAGAACAGGTTGGTTTCTTACCCCATTTGGAGTCAAATGGAGATGTTCTTTCCCCTACTTGGTTTTATGTTTATGTTTACTTATTTGTCAGATGCTTTTATCCAAAGCGACTTACAATTTATAACCTATAGGGCATGTTGTGATCTGTGGGGGAAACCGGAGTACCTGGAGGAAACCAACTCGTTCATGGGGAGAACACGCAACTCCACGCAGAAAGGCCGCAGCCGAGTTTTGAACCTGCAACCTTCGTGCTGCGAGGCAACAGTGCTAAGAACTGTACCACCATGCAGTCCAGCTCTTTATGTTACTGATTTAGCTGTAGGGTCTGGTAAATTGAGTGCTTTAGGAGCTCAATATTACCTCTACTTATGACCAATAAGCTGTGACACTCCATCTAAATATAGAATATCACCCTGCCTGGTCTTTGTGTGTTAATCAGAAGATTCTAGGGTTCTTTATTTATTGTACACACTTCGTTTCGATTCAGAAAACAGTCAGGTTTATAAAAGTAAGAATTTATTTTACCAACAATTAAAACATGACAAGTTAACTAATATTTACTGTGATGGATGTAACTAGATGTGATGCATGAACCTATGTGAACCTATGTAAACCACGGGAAATGCAGCAGGAGGGGGAGGAACCGCAGGAAAAAAAATCATTGCTAGCAGGGGAGTGGCCCAACACAGCGGCTGGGTTAGTTTGGGAGAAGTGGAACAGTATTCCAAGTGGATCAGGCATTTTGATGAGCCAGTTGGATACTGTGGAGACAGGGATCTGTCAAATTCAGAACACATTGATTTTCTGTCATTTTGTTTGGATGAGGAATTCTGGACCCTCATCACAACTGAAACTAACCAATATGCTCACCAGTATTTAGAGAGGGAGGAACTGAAATTTAACAACAGGAGTTCAGAAATGACTGAGATAATGGCGCAGTGCGCCTGGCTCTGGTGTTAATCAAGTTAAATGATATCTCTTTGCAACAATTTTCACAAGAAAACAGAACAGTTAAAAGCAGGACTTGTGTTGACCGGACAGTTCCTGTATTTGACCGTTTATTTTGACGGAGAAAGAATAGAAAGAATTACCCCGACGCATGCAGACGAACTGACATTTTACTCGTTTTGCACATCGCAGATGTAGCTAAATCACCCAAGAAAAGATTCCCATCTGAACATCTGAGCTGGACACTGCTCAGTGCAGCTCACTGTCAGCGCGTACGTACGGTGCACAGCGAGCTGAAGATGTGGAGAGGGGCTTGGAGCGCGTCGCAGAACCAGAGCGCATGCGGGAAGATTCCTCCCACTGAAGCAAGACTTGTCACTTAGAACATGTTCCCTGATTATGAAACTTTGGCTGAATAGCGCTTGTTCCTGTCTCCAATGTGGCGTCGCATCCGTTGGGCCATTCCCATCTGTACCGGGTCGGCCCTGGCCGGGTAGCGTAGGTTGATTACATATCTGGGTGGCCTGGTATTTTTCCGGGCCAACCAAGGCTCATTCTCAGCCCTCTTCTCGAGGGGGTCTGCTTCAGGCCGACCAGGGCCAACACCCACTGCTGACAGCAAATTCACACCTTCCATTAGCAGGGGTGTCCAGTCCTGGTCCTGGAGGGCCGGTATCCTGCATGTTTTAGTTTGAACTCCGTTTCAACACACCTGATTTCAATCAGCAGCTAATTAACAGGCTTCTGCAGCAGGCTTCTGTAGCAATGGTAGGAGTTACAGTATGGAATAGCTTAGAAGAGGAAATAAAACTAAGTTCAAACATAAACCAGGTTTAAAAAGTTATCAAAACATATTTTTAAATAGTTATAGAGAAGAAAACAGATGTGGATTTGCTCCTATTCTGAGGAAGGTGTGTTATGATTATTAGTTACTGTAGATGATACCGATGTAAGTTTGTTTTTTGGGTTGGGTGATTGTTTTAGATGTGTTGTTCTTTATGTGGTATTAGATGTGTAAGAAGGCGTAGGGATATAAACATTTATACTTCACCCCACTCCCTTCAATCAAAGGAATGTTGGTGAATTAATGATGATGGAAATTTCTGTTTGTCATAAAACATTAAATGAAAGTGATCCAAACCAATCGGTCACTGCTTCAGTGTCTTAAATTCTTTAGTTTGAAGTTATTTTCTTCTGTTTTTGATTCATCAGGCCGTTAATTTAATCACCAAGAAGGAGCTGCTGACGGTGGACCCAGACACGGACGACACACAGCTGGTGTACGAAGTCACCGCTCAGCCGAAGCACGGCGTCCTGGAGAACAAAGTCAAACCCAGAAGCTCCGTCACCTCGTTCACTCAAGGTCCGAACGAAGCCGCTTTCCCTCTGTTGATGTCCCGTGTTCAGAGTCCGGCTCTAAAATGACTACTTTAATCATTTCATTTCATCAATTTTTATTCATTTTTGTTTGAAAAATTATAGAATTTAAGTGAGAAATTCAAGCAGATGCAAGAATGAAGTTCTGGCTCATGAGGAGAGGTGTTATACAGAGCTGGACCCCGGGTATAAGACCTCTGATTTCCTTAAAGCAGTTACACAACCATCCGGGGAGGCCGTTCCCATGGAATAGGACTGTCTCGTTTCTAAAACGCTCAAAGACAGCCCAGAACAGGATGGATAGGTTACAAATATCAGCTAAGTGTGCAGTTCACACACACACACACACACACACACACACACACACACACACACACACACACACACACACACACACACACACACACACAAGGATAAAGGAGGTAAAAGATGAGTCTATTGCTGAAGCACCTCTCCTCTAACAAGTAACTGATTCAAATGCTGGAACGTTCCATTTGGGTCTAACGTGTTTGGGTTCTAGTCTCAACTCTGCTGTAGCTTCACACCAGGTCGTACATATTAGTAATAAAGCTGTAAATCATAATAGAATTAAGATATTAACACGTTTTCTTAACTATTGTATTGTTTCTCTGTCCTAAAATAGTTTATTTTTTCATTTATTTGAGTGAGTTTCATTTTATAAATTTATACTTTTACTCTTTTATTTTGTCTTTATTCATTTGATTTAACTTCAATTCTTTTTTTAAATTTAATTGTTTAAATTAAAACATAAAATTTTCCTTGCATTTTTGTTTGTATATGTTTTATGTTTCCTTTAACTTTATTCATTTTTATTAGCTTTTTCTTCCCATTTATTGACTTTTATTTAGGGATATTGATTTAATTTCTTTATTTTATTTCAGTAACAATGTCCAAATTGCTAATAAGTTGTAGGAACAAATAATCCAGTGTAAAAGCCAGCAGCTCACCCGGATCGACTGGATGGACAAAAGTGTGTTTCCCATAATTCCATGTTGCATCAGCGCCCTCCTCAGCTGAAGATGATGAAAACGAAAGCCTTTAACATCTGGGACTCACCTCACACTGAACATCCTCCCTTCATCACCACGAGATGCTCAGTTGTCTGTCTCACTTTCACTCACCGTGGGTCTCGGTTCTCGTTATGAGCGTGCTCGTGTGTTTACCTCCAGGCTGCAGCTTTTGTAAAGTGTAGCCCCTTCAGGCAGGAGAGCAACTCCTAACAGGCATTAATATGTTGAATGTTCAGTTTGGAGCAGACAGACCTATTTTCCTAATGATAGCAAATATATCACGAGTAAGAAACTTTCCCCGAGAGAAAAGTTCCCGGCTGTGACTCACATCCTTCACCCTGTTTGCACTCAGACTTTAGATTTAGATGTGTGAGATTTACATACAAGGACAGAGGTTAGGGCGTTACGCCTCCCGCTGAGCGTCCTGAAGGTCATTTGCGTGATTTCCCAGCAGAAGGTGGGAGGTTTGCTTCGTTTGCTCTAAACCTGCTACAGACGAAGCCAGAAGAAAAATGAGCTACGTTCTTATCTTGACTCTCAAGGAATAGAAAACAGCCAGAAGCCGAAAATTAGACGATCATTACTTCAGAGGAGGAAACTTTAAAGTTCTGTGAAATCTCAAGTCCTTCACGGCCTGAAAACTTCTTCTGTTCTTTGTCCTGTAGCTGATATCAACCTGGGTCTGATTCGCTACGTGCTACATCAGGAGAATGTCCTGGAGACCATGGACAACTTCCAGTTCCTGGTCAAAGACAGCAAACCCAACGTGGTCAGCGGCAACGTCTTCCACATCCAGTGGTCTCTCATCAGCTTCCAGCACAAGAGGTCGGTGAAAGATCCTAAACGTGTTTTTACCAGTTCTTCAAAAATGTTAAATAAGTCATTTTCCTGTCTGGCCCCTCAGCCACAACGTGAGTGAGAAGGCTGCTACCGTAGCGATAACGGTAAAGCGAACCGGAAACCTGAATCAGTATGCCATCGTTCTGTGCCGCACCGAGCAGGGCAGTGCTAAATCCACCGGCTCTCATCCTGGCCAGCACGACTACGTGGAGTTTGCCGGACAGGTAGCATAAGCTAACACTGATGTTCCCCCTGAAAGTTCCCTTTATGCCTGGTCCTACCTGTTCTGCAGGTGCAGTTTGATGAGCGGGAGGACACCAAGGTGTGCACTATCGTCATCAACGATGACAAGGTGTTCGAGGGCATCGAGAGCTTCCACGTGGAGCTGAGCATGCCCGTGTACGCCCTGCTAGGTCCGAACACGCGCACCATCGTCTACATCAACGACACGGAGGACGAGCCGACCCTGCAGTTTGATAAGAAGACGTACCACGTCAACGAGAGCAGCGGCCTCTTCCACGCTGCCGTCGAGAGAAGAGGTACAGCCTGAGGATCACATCATTCGTAGATGATTATCGATAAAGCGTTGGTGTCTAAGACCAAAACTAACACTCCTGACCCTGGTCTTTAAACAGAATCAATGCCGACGCTTCACTTCCGCATGTCTCCTGTGTGTGTGGGGGTGGGGGGTCACTGTCGTGCAGGAGTGGATTTCATAGCCGTGTCACAGTGCCACACTTAAAGGTTGGTTTATACTTGACGCGTCCGCGAGGTCCGCGCGCGAAATTGCGTCATTTTAACAACCACGCCCCTCCACCGCGCTTCCGCACGGCCCAAAATTTCCGCACCGCGCACCTAGGAAATTTTCTAACCATGCAGACGGTCGGACGCAGAAAAACATGGCGGACTGTATGGCAGAGGTTCGTAAATACAGACATTTCTATGATTCAGCTCTCAGAGATCACCGTGATCAACATGTTGTTAATAATTATTGGAGAGAAATAGCTCGCACTGTCGGAAAAGACGAGGACGCTGATAAAAAATGCTGGAATGCCATCTTGTAAACAACAGTAAATTTTACTTCTACTATGGTGTAGTGTTGGATGCATTCCATAGAGCTCCATGCTGCCCCCTACAGTTTGGGAGAACATTGGCTCACCGCAGAGACGAGCCGCATGAACCATAAACGCTGCAAGTTGTGAAGCGCGTTCCATCCGCGAGCCGCATCACCAAGCGGAAAGTGAATGCATCAAGCAGAAACCAAGCTTAAGTCGATGCAGGGGAAATGCTGCACAGACCCTAACCCAACATCAGCGTGGATAACACATGTAGAGCTGTAAGGTGCACAAGTAACTGAAAGGAAGACAGTAAACAGAACATTTTACAGCCAGTAAAATATGCCAAAGCCAACGGGATCTAGTGAATGAACCACCCACCTCATGGCAGAAAGAGTCCTATGGCAGAATGAGAAACTAAAATATCTGCCCCGCATGCCCACACACACACTCACACACACAAGTTACAGCCATCTCATGTCTTTTGTGCTTTTCATACAATTATTCACGTCTGCGGGGGACGGGGAGACAAGCGGAGTTACTGCTGATCAGTCCTGAGAAATCAAGTGTGTGTGAGACTGACAGCACCGTGTGGTGGATAGTTTTGCCGGTAAACACCGATGCGACAGACGCACACCCCATCTGCACAGCCTTGGCTGAAATAGCAGACTTCTGTCTGGAGCCCGTTATTAAACGAGACGACAGCACGCTTTTCTGGTGAAAAATACACATCCAGCCTTCCTTAGATGTTGCAACTAGCGCCAAAGTACCCGCCTGTCGGTGCCACACGGGTTTTCAGCAGCCGGTCCAGAACCTCCTAGGTTGAAGCCGAAAAAGGTAAATATGCTGGTTTTTCAGGCGAAAGATCATTTCATGAGCAGTTTTTGAAGTTGTTAATATTATGTGTGCTATGCTGTTATTAGTTTAGTACTAGAGTTTGTTATTCCGTTTCTGAAGAGTGAAAGTCTGAACCAACAGTTTGGTCATTCCACTTGAGGCTTACGCCATCCTTTTGAATGGCCCCAGTAATACCGTACACCTTGGTCAAATGTGGAGTAAGCTGGACGGTTAACATCTGGATCCCGCCCAAGCCTAGTCGATAGAGCAAGAAGAACTGGAAAATCGGCTAATAAATAGAAGACAGTGTAGGTATCAGAGCAGAACAGTCAGGTGCAAACACAACACAGGTCATGTGACTGGAACCAAGCGACTGGAGTGGGTGGTCCTTCATGAGTCCAACAGCAGAGGAGAAGAAACTGTTCTTATGGTGAAAGGTTGTGGTTTGAATGGACCTGAGCCTCCTGCCAGATGGGAGCAAGTCAAAGAGATGGTCCAGTGTGAGACGGGTCAGCTGTGATCTGACCCGCACGCCCCAATGACCTGGAGGTGTACAGGTCCTGTATGAAGGGGAGTCTGCAGCCAATGCCCTTCCCAGCAAAGCGCGCGGCGTTGAACGTTGTTTATGTAACACGTTTCTCCATCTCCCTGTCCGTTCAGGCGACGCCTCCAGCACCGTGTCTGCTCTCTGCTACACCGTGGCTAAGTCAGCTCGAGGCAGCAGCCTCCACGGTGTGGAGTCCGGCTCCGACTACAAGAGCCGTGGGATGTCCTCCGACAACCGTGTCATCTTTGGTCCAGGCGTCAGCATGTCCACCTGCGACGTTAAACTCATCGACGACAGTGAGTACGAGCTGTCTGAGGATTTTGAGCTGGTCCTGTCCGACGCCTCGGAAAATGCCCGAACGGGGGACTTGACAGTGGCCAAGATCATCATCGATGGCCCCAATGATGCATCTGTTGTTACACTCAGAAACGCCACCTTTACCTTCAGCGAAGATGCCGGTAGGAACTGTCTCCTGTATCTGGAACAGAGTGCTGTCTTTTGGTTTTTACCTCTGATTACATATTTGGAATGTTTAGGAACCATTGAGATTCCGGTGCTGCGACGCGGCAGTGACCTGTCCTCTGTCACCTCCGTCTGGTGTGCCACCAGACTGTCAGACCCTCCCTCGGCTAGCCCAGGAGTCGACTACATCCCCAGCTCCAAGAAGGTGGAGTTCAAACCTGGAAAAACAGAGGAGGTATGAACACAGAACCAGGGGTTCTCAACCTGTGGCTCTAGAGCCGCTACGCTTGGCTTGGGAGACGCTCTGAAGCAACTCCTTTTTAACGTTCACTACAATAATCCTGAATGCAACAAACATTGACGTGTAAACCAACACCAGCACAGGGTTTTGGGTAGAGGTGCTGTTTGTTTCAGTCATTTAGGTGTTTTGGCCAAAACCTGAAAAAGCACTTTTGGGTCGAAATTTTTCGGTGGCCGAATTTTCTGTGCATCCCTAGTTTCTGGCAAACAAGCTGATTTATTTTGAATCTACAGGAACGTTAACAGTACGATCTAAAACCTTCTCTAAGAGATCCAACTCTGCTCTGATCCTTAGACGTGCAGTTTGACCATCATGGATGACGTACAGAACCCAGCCATTGAAGGACCCGAGTCTTTTGTGGTTTTCCTCAGTTCTCCTCAGGGTGCTGTCCTACAGGAACCTTATGAGGCCAATGTGATCATCACCGACACCTTCCAGGACAGTGCGTAACGCCAGAAACTCACATTTTTATCGTTTTCTGTAGTCAGCTCTGTGACAGCCTTGTTCCTTTCTCAGTTCCCACCATGCAGTTTGAGAAGAGTTCCTACACCATAAAGGAGAAGGAGACCGTCCTCCACATCCCAGTCATCCGAACGGGAGACCTGTTCTTCAAGTCTTCAGTTCGCTGTTTCACTCGAACCATGTCAGCCATGGTGATGGATGACTTTGAGGAGAGGAAGAACACGGATGAGTCGCGCATCACTTTCCTGAAAGGAGAGAAGGTCGGATGTTGTTTGTGTGTTTAACTTCTGACCCATCAGGTGTTTACTGGACCTTTGTTGTTTTCCAGGTGAGGAACTGCTCTGTTCACATTAACGATGACTCCGTATTCGAACCTGAAGAGGAGTTTGAGGTGCATCTCGGTACGCCGCTCGGAGACCACTGGAGTGGCGCCATGGTTGGCCCACGGGACGTTGTCACCATCACCATCACCAACGATGAAGATGGTGGGCGGAGCCTGTTTTACTTCCATCTCAACCAGCTGTAGAAGCTGCTTTTAATCCGAATGAACTGTGAATTAACTTCCTGCTGTGACCTCCTTGAGGTTCATTTGGAGTATCTGGGATTAGTATTAGCCTTTAGCCACAAACGTGACCTTGTTTTTGCAATAAAAGTAATTTTCATCTTAAAAGGTGAAATTCTGAGGGATTTAAATAAAAGTCTGGTTCACTGATAACCCATTTTTAATAATTATTTCTGGTTATAATGAGTGTTTCATGCAGACTGAACATGAAAATAGTCTCCTACACCTATCTCCTGCAGTAGCTTCTGATAGAAAACAGACGGTGAAACTCTAGGATTAGAAAATCCTGACAGATCTACGTCACCCTGTCACTAACATTCATGGACTCACCCATCTGGACTCACAACGGGGAAGGCTGTTGTTGGTTTAGTCCGGGAAACAGCAGAGAACGTCTCTGCTAGTAGAAGCTAACCATTAGCATTAGTTACTCCACAACACAGCAGAACTCCTCCAGGCTTGTGTTATTAGTGGGGATAAAACATCAACGTGGCAGAGCAGACAGAGTCAGTGGTAGAGTCGTGTTGCTGTTAGCCAATCAGAGGAGAGATTCCAAATCCTGTTGTCTGAAGCTCAGCTTTGATGTGACTCACTTCTAGAGCCTGAAATGTGAGTATGACTTACAAGGCGTTCGTTCCTATAGAGGCAGCTGCAGATGTGTTGAATTTAATGGTTTCTCTTTGTTAGAAAAAGGTCATTTTTTTGTTTATTTAATGTTTGAGGAAAACCAGGTATGATGTGGTTAGCGTATTCACTCAGACCTGTTTTGGTTCTGTTGGTCCAGCTCCTACAGTCGAGTTCGAGCAGGCGTCCTACCAGGTCAGAGAGCCTTCGATTCCAGACGGAGTTGAGGAGATCAACATCAAAGTGATCCGCCGTGGGGATCTGGACCGAACGTCCAAGATCCGCTGCAGTACCCGGGATGGGTCGGCCCAGTCTGGAGTTGACTACAATCCCAAGAGCCGAGTCCTGAAGTTCCCCCCGGGTCGGTACCAGAAACATCTCATCCTTTTGCTTCTGAGAGTTTTGGTGGACTTGAAGCCTTTGATGGTTTTATTTGACAGGAGTGGACCACATCCTGTTCAAAGTGGAGATTTTGTCCAATGAGGACAGGGAATGGCACGAATCCTTCTCCCTGGTTCTTGGGCCCGATGACCCTGTGGAGGCTGTGCTGGGGAAGGTCACCATGGCAACAGTGACTATTCTGGACCAGGAGGCTGCAGGAAGTCTCATCCTCCCAGCTCCACCGATTGTAAGAAGACTCAGACTTTGAGTTTCTGACATCAAGTCTTCTCTTTAATGTAAAAATCAAAACTTCAGGCACCGTTTTTCTTTTGAGGCTTTTACTTTCCTCACTCCTGGACTCAGCTAAGATTACTAAAACTCGTTTTCTCCTCCTCAGGTGGTCTCTCTGGCTGACTACGATCAAGTTCAGGAAGTGACCAAAGAGGGCAGTGGGAGGAGCCCCTCCCCAGGCTATCCTCTGGTGTGCGTCACCCCCTGCGACCCCCACTACCCCAAGTTCTCTGTGATGAAGGAGCATTGCCAGGAGGCGGGAATCAACCAGACACAAGTCCACTTCTCCTGGGAGGTGGCGGCACCCACTGACTCCAGCGGAGCTCGGTCCCCGTTTGAAACGGTGACGGACACCACGCCGTTCACTGGCGTCAACCACATGGTGAGAGGATTCCTCACTACAACGTTCTTGTTTTTGGAATTAGCCCAGAAGATGGGTTTGCAGCCAGAATCCTCAAACGCCCGGATCTTGAGTCAGTCATTCATGCTTTTATTACTTCACGTCTGGATTACGCAAATTCTGTCCTGACTGGGATTAATGCTTCAGCCTTAAGCAAACTGCAGAAGGTTCAAAATGCCGCGGCCAGATTTTTAACCAACACCGACAGACGCATGCACATCACACCCATCCTCGCAGATTTATACTGGCTCCCAGGCAAATTTAGGATTAACCTCAAGGTCCTGTTATATGTTTACAAGGCTTTGTACTGCCCATCCCCATCCTATGACGGACCTGCTGACCCCGCATGTTCCCACCCGTGCCCTTCGGTCAGCAGATCATCTGCTGCTTGTTGTTCCGAAGGTTCGGTACAAATCACGGGGGGAGCGTGCCTTCTCTTATGCAGCCCCAAAACTCTGGAACTCTGCCCCTCCGTGTGCGTCTGGCTCCCTCGGTTAGCCGTTTCAAGTCGGCCCTGAAAACGCACTTCTTTAGCATTGCCTTCCCTCCTTGACACTTTTCATGACAATCTAGCACCGGATTTGAGTTTTTAATTCCATTTTTATGATTTAGTTGCACACTTTTCGCACCTCGCACCATCTGGTATTTTATTTCGTTTTATTTGTGCCATTTCAAATGTTTTTATTATTCGTCGCATTATTTTATTTTTATAGTGCTGTTAACTGTTCTCCTATTTTATTGTTTTTAGTAGGAATTTTTATCTCCGACTATTTATGCTTTGTTCTTATGTATTTTGCCTGTTCTTATTGTGTTTCTTGGTCAAGCATTTGGCTTTTTTATGTACAGCCCTTTGGTTAGCTGCCATGCTATTTTGAAATGGTGCTTTATAAATAAGTATGGTATGGTATGGTAGAATGTTTCCTCGTTTCATCCCAGTACAACCCAGCCAGAGCTGCAAGTGGGCAAACATCCCAGAGTCAAAGGAAACGTTGGTTTTCTTTGTTCCTCTCAGGTTCTTGACAGCATCTACTTCAGCCGTCGCTTCCACGTCCGCTGCAAGGCTCAGGCTAGGGACAAAGCCGGTCACCTGGGAACGCCGCTGAGGAGCAACATCGTGATCGTCGGTACCGAGGGCTCCATCTGCCACACCCCTATTACCACGGGAAACGCCCGGGGCTTCCAGGCCCAGTCCTTCATTGCCACGCTGAAATACCTGGATGTGAAGCACAAGGAACATCCCAACCGGTCGGTATCCACAGAGGATCGTTAATCGGATCAGGCCGCGTGTACCCGTATTAATCATCTGTTCTGCTGTGTGGGCAGCATCCACATCTCGGTGCAGATCCCCCACCAGGACGGCATGCTGCCTCTGCTGTCCACCATGCCGCTGCACAACCTGCATTTCCTGCTGTCAGAGTCCATCTACAGGCAGCAGCACATCTGCTCTAACCTGGTGACCATCAGAGAGCTGCAGGGCCTCTCAGGTGAGTCAGCGCCTACACGTGTGTCCTCCTGAAGCCGGACCAGGAGCTCACCAGAACACAGCGCAGCTCTTTATCCACACGTCTTCTCCTAAATGTCCCTTTAACTCTGTCCGCTGGTTTGAGTTTTGTTTGAAAGGATCCAGTCAGCGGTCCCTAGCTGGACCCTGTGAGAGCTTTTTGAGCCACAGCCTAAGCACAGCAGAGAGAACACTGCCTTGACCTTTCAGCTGAGTTCAGATACAAAGTGGGACTTTCCTCCACAGACTCGGGCTTCCTGGAAGATGTTTCCTATGACAGCATCTCCCTGGGACCAGGCTACGACCGGCCATACCAGTTCAACCCCAACGTTAGGGAGGCAAAAAGCATCCAGCTCTACAAACACCTCAACCTCAAAAGCTGCATCTGGACCTTTGACGCCTACTACGACATGACCGAGCTCATCGACATCTGCGGGGGCTCCGTCACTGCAGACTTCCAGGTGTGTCTGCTGCACTCCTGACAGGAAACGTAGATGATTTCTTGACGAGGAGTCTTCTGGAAGCGTTTTGTTGATTGAATTTTTTTTTTTACAGGTTCGAGATTCTGCTCAGTCCTTCCTGACGGTGCAGGTCCCTCTCTATGTGTCCTATATCTACGTCACAGCTCCGAGAGGCTGGGCGTCTCTGGAGCACCACACAGAGATGGAGTTCTCCTTTTTCTACGATACGGTGCTCTGGAGGACAGGTCTGGAACAAACTGGCTAAATCCCACGCATCTGTTTTTAGCATTCAGTCGGCTTTGTGGGACCGGTAAACGATCAGCTGGAGACTTGTTTTGTCGTTAAAGCATTAGGCTCAGTGTTGTAGTTTCAAACCCAGTACAACAGAGGTGTTCAAAGTGTGGCCTGCGGGCCCTCAACTGAGTTTGTCCTGTTGCAGGATGTCAGTTACTTTAGTTTTTAATCTGATTACCTGGTAACTGAGAGTACAAACCTTCAGATTCATAAACGTGACCCAGACTCAAAATTATTCATCAGAATCTGGGATTTAGACAAAGTTTCTACATTTTAATAACATTAGGCCACGCATATAACCACGGTTCCCTTTCAGTCCATTCACTCGGTACAATGAAGATACTATGGGACTAATCGAAAAGCCCCATGATTAGCTGTCCAACCTGGGCTGAGGTTGCAATCTAAGATGACATGAAAGAAGCAGCCACACCTCTAGTAGAGTGTGCCCTGACCCCTAGGGGCAGCTGGGAGCCAGTGACACTGTACCACAGGGACATGGCCTCCACAATCCAATGAGAAAGTCTTTACCCATGGAGGGTTTGGTGGAACACACAAACAGTTGGTCTGTTTTTCAGATACCTCCTCTGCTCCTCAGAGGCAAAAGCAGGACGATCGAAAAGCCAAAAGCTCTATGGTCATGGAACCGTAGTTCAGGGATGACCTTGGCCAAATACGCAGCATTTGGATGCAGAGATCCATCTGATGACATTTTCAGACAGGGAGGGTGACTTGAAAGAGCATGAAGATCGCCCACCCTCTTAGCCGATGCTAGGGCTAAGAGCAGAGCTGACTTACAAGACAAAACCTTCATGCTGATTGATCCAATGGGCTCAAATAGGGGACCACACAGGGCCTCCAGTGCCAAACGTGAGGTCCCAAGAAGGGACTGAAGAGCTAATAACGGGTCTCAGTCTGCAAACACCGTTCTAAAGGGTGAGCGCCAGGAGAATCTCCATTAAAAGACTCATGGCAAGCAAAAATGGCTTCCTGGTAGACCTTTAAGGTGGAGAAAACCGAGCCCCTGTCCAGCAGGTATTGTAGAAAAGACAGAATGTCGACATTAGAGCTCTGTGAGGGAACAACTAACCTGCACAGAGACCACATCTCAAAAGCCTTCCACCTACAGGCATATAAAGCCCTAGTGGAGCATGCTCTGCAGCAGCGGGTCCCCTCTTTGTGGCCCCCTAACCGCCCGCCCCCCGGTCCGACTGTCGAGCGGGAGGGGTGGGAACGGCGCTGGTGTGCATGCATTGTGCTACTAGATTGTAGTCTGGTGTCATGAACCGCCACCCCCCCACCAGCCAGGGAGCTCTTTTTGTAATTTACTGACAAACCCAGGGCTGAACCAGGGAGATGTGAGCCTCAGCTTGCACAGTGGAGCTCGCTACCAGTGCCCAGTTGTCTACGTGGGGAGAATACGGGTTGCCCGCTCTCTGAGAGGTTTTAGCGCAGCCTCCACACATTTGGAAAGGTGCTGGGAGCTAGGGCTAATCCGAACGGGAGAACCATGAACTCGTAGGCTTTCCCTTAAAACGCAGACGCTTCCTGTGATCAGGATGAATCCCCTCATGGGGAGTGCCTCCAGGATTCATCTCGGGGGCTGATGGCGATTAGCAGCTGTTTGAGCGTTAGCATCTTGAACTTGTACATGTGCAAATGGAACGAGTGCGTGATGTCCCGTAGTACTTTTGTTGTACCGAGTCAATCGACTGAAAGGGAACTAATTCATATCCAGTATGAGTCCAGGTTCGTTGGTCGTTTGCCTCCCTCCCTTTAGTCCCACTGGATTTGATCTGACTTGTTTTGATGCTGCAGGGATCCAGACGGACAGCGTCCTCTCAGCCCGGCTGCAGATCATCAGGATCTTCATCCGAGAGGACGGCCGACTTGTCATCGAGTTTAAAACTCATGCTAAGTTCAGAGGTCAGCCCCCTGAACCCCCACTCCTCAGAAAACACAGCTGTGATATAACTCCCTGCCTGAGAGTCCCTGATCTGTTTCCAGGTCAGTTTGTCCTGGAGCATCACACCCTGCCGGGTCACGCGTCCCGCCTGACGGCGCCGGACCACCTCGGGGGAATGGAGTTTGACCTGCAGCTTCTGTGGAGCGCTCAGACCTTTGACTCGCCGTATCAGCTGTGGCGAGCCACCAGCTCCTACAGCCGGTGGGTACACCCATGTGACCCAAACAGGAATTGTTAGGTTAAAGTTAATTAAAAGTGCCTCCAGGACATGAGAAGTCTTAAAATGAACAAGAAACGCTAAATCTGCTTCATTCAGGGTTTGATTATCCTGCATTCTAAACATTTGTGGTTGTTTCCATCTCCTGGATGGATCTCTGTTTATCCCAACTCCTCCACAGGAAGGACTACTCTGGAGGGTACACCGTCTTCCTGATCCCCTGCACCGTCCAGCCTACTCAGCCCTGGGTCGACCCTGGAGACAAACCCCTGTCCTGCACGGCTCATGCTCCAGAAAAGTGAAGCTCACCGACACGACTTGTAAATGAAACAGCTAGTCTGAAGCCTGAAGTGTTCTATCTTTACAGGTTTCTGGTGCCGATCGCCTTCCAGCAGACCAACCGACCCGTCCCGGTTGTTTACTCCCTCAACACGGAGTTCCAGCTGTGCAACAACGAGAAGGTGTTCCTGTTGGACCCGGCCACCACTGACGTCTCCATGGCTGAGATGGACTATAAGGGAGCTTTCTCCATGGGTAGGACTAAAACAGACCTGCACAACAAGCTAGGTTTTCAATTCAGCTCAGTTTATTTATAAAGCGCCAAGTCAGGACCAGAGTCGTCTCGAGGACCTTCACACAGTAAACAACACAGGTCAGTTCATTAAGCCAATCAGTAACAAGTTTCCTATATAAGGAACCAAGCAGGTCGCATCGAGTCACTGACTAGTGTCAGAGTCTTTACAGCAATCCTCATACTAAGCAAGCATGCAGCGACAGTGGAGAGGAAAACTCCCTTTTAACAGGAAGTAACCTCCAGAGGATCCTGGCTCACTATAAGCAGCTGTGCGCCACAGTCATGGCAGCAGGTTGTCCAGTAAACAGAAGGTTGTAGGATCAACCCCCGCTCCCGGAGGAGAATGCTGTAATAACCATTCTGTCCTGTTTTTCAAATTTGTTTTTTATGTTTCTTTAAAAAATAAAAAGAACACCGTAAAATGTGAACTACAGTAAATAAATCATCTTGTTGCATTTATCACACTGTTAGACTGACTTTACATCTGGTGGCTTTCAAGCATTGGGTTTTTCTTATTACAGCAGACTAAACAGGATGAATGTGTGTGCCTTACCTGGGAAAGAAAGGAAATTAGATCTGTTAGTGATGAATAACTACAGACCCATCGCTAATCTCCTTTCAGGGGAAAATGGCTGAAAAAGATGTTCTGATCCAGCTGAACAACTGTTATAGACAAAAACCTGCTAGATAGTCTCCAGTCAGGCTGTAGACAACACCACAGCACTGAGACCGCACTGATTAAAGTACTAAATTATATTCATTTAATACAGATTCAGGTAGAACATCTGTCCTGATGATGCTCCATCTCACTGCAGCTGTTGATCCTGAGGACCACAGCATCCTTCTGATAGGCTCATAACCTGGGTGGGACCTTCAGACACAGTCCATAGTCTTATCTAGAAGACATGTTGTTTCTATCAGTGATCACAAATCAGAGCTGATCACCATCCTATGTGGGGTCCCCCAAGGCTCAGTTTATGGACCACTGCTCTTCAATCTCTTCATGTTCCCCGTGGGTCAGGTCATAAACACAATAACAACATTACCTATCATAGTTATGCTGATGACACCCAGATCTACCTAGCTCTGTCACCTAGTGACCGGTCCTCTAGACTCACTCTGTCAGTGTTGGGACCAAGTTAATGACTGGATGCAGTCAAACTTCCTCCAGTTAAACAAAGACTAGACTGAAGTTATTGTCTTTAGGTATCAGAAGGTCAGGATGGAGGTTACTGCTCAGCTCGGCTCCAGAGGAAATTTGTTATTTTATCTCACCTATTTTAACTTTGCTTTTATATTTGAATGTAGTTGTTGGTTTTATTGAACTTTTATTTTTGTATTGTGATCTGTTTTCTCATGCTGCGAAGCACTTTGGTCAGCAACAGCGGTTTTAAATGAGCTACACATTTAAAATAGACCTTGATCTCCTCTTGGCTGCCCCAGAGGATATTTAATCCCTCCAGAGACAGTTTTGGAAAATCTCTTAGGGGAGGCGACCAAGAGACTTCTGATACCTGAACTGCCTCATTTGAATCTTTTGAGTAAGAAAGATCTGGTGCTAATTTAGTCCCTCTTCTGCCCCCTACAGGTCAGACTCTGTATGGTCGAGTTCTGTGGAACCCAGAGCAGAACCTGAATGCTGCCTACAAGCTGCAGCTGGAAAAGGTGTACCTGTGCACTGGCAGGGATGGTTACGTCCCCTTTTTCGACCCAACGGGAACTCTGTACAATGAAGGTCCACAGTACGGCTGCATCCAACCCAACAAACACCTAAAACACCGATTCCTGCTGCTGGTAGGAAGATGTTCCTGCTCACTTCTGCTGCTGTGTTTTAGTTAAAGCTCTTATAGCAAACCTACAGAACAAGCTAGGTTTTGAAAACAAACACAGTCACAGAACACTCACCCCTCCTCAGGTGTCTTCCCTTAGACCAACACCAACCAAAAATATCTCCATCAGAACATTAAACATGAGACTAACAGCTAACGCATCCCTAGTAATACAATAGAGTAGAATAGACTTTATTGATCCTGCAGTGGGGAAATTCACTCGTTATAGCAGCACCAACACTTGAGAGAACAATTTACTCTAGCTCTAGCCGCCTGGCTTGGACCCAGGGTGATGAAGTCTTGGTACCCAGCCCCACCAACATGTGATCTTTCTGCCCATTTTAACCAAGCATTTTTATGTTAAATGCGCAGCATTTTCCCCTTTCAACCAGTGGAACAAAGTCCGTCCATCCATTTTCATCAGCTTATCCGGAGTCGGGTCGTGGGGGCAGTAGCCTAAGTCGAGAGGCCCAGACTTCCCTCTCCCCAGCAACTTGGGCCAGCTCCTCCGGGGGAATCCCAAGGCGTTCCCTGGCCAGGTGAGAGACATAGACCCTCCACCGTGTCCTGAGTCTACCTTTAGGCCTTCTCCCGGTTGAACATGCCCAGAAAACCTCACCTGAGAGGCGTCCAGGAGGCACCCTGACCAGATGCCCGAGCAACCTCAACTGGCTCCTTTCAATGTGGAGGAGCAGCGGGTCTACTCCAAGCCCCTCCTGAACGACCGAGCTTCTCACCCTATCTCTAAGGGAGAGCCCAGCCACTCTTCAGAGAAAACTCATTTCGGCCGCTTGTATCCGCGATCTCGTTCTTTCGGTCACTACCCAAAGCTCATGACCATAGGTGAGGGTAGGAACGTAGATCGACCGGTAAATCGAGAGCTTTGCCTTCTGACTCAGCTCTCTCTTCACCACGACAGACCGGTACAACGCCCGCATCACTGCAGATGCAGCACCAATCCACCTGTCGATCTCACGCTCCAGTTTTCCCTCACTTGTGAACAAGACCCTGAGATACTTAAACTCCTCCACTTGGGGCAGGACCTCATCCCTGACCCGGAGAAGGCATTCTACCCTTTTCTGAATCAAGACCATGGTCTCAGATTTAGAGGAGCTGATTGTCATCCCAGCTGCTTCACACTCGGCTGCGAACCGCTCCAGCGAAAGCTGAAGATCACGTTCTGATGAAGCCAACAGGACCACATAATCTGCAAAAAGCAGAGACCTGATCCTCAGGCCACCAAAACGGATGCCCTCCACACCTTGGCTGTGCCTAGAAATCCTGTCCATAAAGGTTATGGACAGAATCGGTGACAAAGGGCAGCCTTGGCGGAGTCCAACGCTCACTGGGAACGAGCCCGACTTACTGCCGGCGTTGCGGACCAAGCTCTGACACCGGTCATACAGGGAACTAACAGCCCGTATCAGAGGGCCTGGTACCCCATACTCCCCGAGTACCCCTCACAGGGCCCCCCCGAGGGATGCTGTCAAACACCTTCTCCAAATCCACAAAACACATGTAGACTGGTTGGGCGAACTCTCACACACCCTCCAGGATCCCCTAAGGGTGTAGAGCTGGTCCAGTGTTCCAAGGCCAGGATGAAAACCACATTGCTCCTCCTGAACCTGAGGTTCAACAATCTGACAGACCCTCCTCTCCAGAACTCCTGACTTCAGACTCAATGTCCCCCGCCTCCCCAAGAACATTTTGGAAGTTCTGTCGGAGGTGAAAATTGAAGCTCCTTCTGACAGGAGACTCTGCCAGACGTTCCCAGCAGACCCTCACAATACGTTTGGGCGTGCCTGGTCTGACCGGCATCCTCCCCCACCATCTGAGCCCACTCACCACCAGGTAGTGGTCAGTTGACAGCTCCGCCCCTCTCTTCACCTGAGTGTCCAAGACATGCGGCCGCAGATCAGATGAGATGATGACAAAGTCGATCATCGAGTTGCAGCCTAAGGTATCCTGGTGCCAAGAGCACATATGGACACCTTTATGTCTGAACATGGAGTTCATTATGGACAATCCATGACTGGCACAGAAGTCCAATAACAAAACACTGATCGAATTCAGATCAGGGGGGCCGTTCCTCCCTACCACACCTCTCGAGGTCTCACTGTCGTTGCCCACGTGAGCGTTAAAGTCCCCCAGCAGAACGAGGGAGTCACCGGAAGGAGCGCTTTCCAGCACCCCCTCCAAGGACTCCAAAAAGGGTGGGTAGTCTGAACTGTAGTTTGGTGCATAAGCACAGACCACAGTCAGAACCCGTCCACCCACACGTAGGCAGAGGGAGGCTACCCTCTCATTCTCTGGGGTAAACCCCAACGTACAGGCACCAAGATGGGGAACAAAGTACAGAAACATAATTTTACTTACCGATAAAAATGAAGCAGACACCTTTGATGGTCTGTTAGCGCAAACAGTACCACAGCTTAACGTCTTTGTCCAAATAATTCCATGATTAACGTCCAAACACTAACACACAGGGGACACAACTAAAGGTCAGAGTCAAAATCGCCGAACATCTTTTAACGTGAGGCCCAAGCTGAGGCCTTCCCCGGAGCGATTTCTAGCATTGACTGCTAATGCTACCTGTCATTACACCTAAACGGAAGAGTTTAAATCTATTAGATTGTTACTTTATAAAACAATCCGACCCCCTCAGAGTGGTCATGACTGTAAACTAGATATATTACCTAAAATGTGTGTTTGAACCAAAGTATTTATTTCTGCCGTGATGTCGGCTTTTTTTTAACACTGGGGTCAATAAGGATTTGCTAACTTCAGGGTTTCGGCCTCTAGTGGATGAGGGTGGAACTGCAATGTTTGTTACTTAGAACAGAATAGAATAGAAATTCACTTGTTCCAGCAGCACCAACTCTTGAGAGAATGATGTGAAGAAAAATAATAGCAAGGTGCATGTATACACAGAGGCAGTACGCTAGTATTGTAACCTTAGACCACTGAAACCATGAATAAAAAAAAAACTTGCATACTGCAAGAGACACAGACATACTACGTAAATCTAGTATTGCACGAGTATTGAACACACACCGAGTATTGCATTGGTGGTATTGTGTACCAGGATCATGCCAGTACCAGTTAAACTGAGGAGGTCTACACTCTTACTGCAGAGGGGATGAATGAGCTACGGTAGCGTTCTGTTTTACCTCTGGGATGTCTCTGTCTGCCTCTGAAGGAGCTGTCCATGGTCTCCTTAGTGGAATACAGTGGGTGGGAGTTTTTTTTAAGATGGTGGTCATCTTCCCCAGCATCCTTCTTTCACACGTCTCCTCAGCTGCACCCATTGGGCAGGTCAGAACCGAGTTAGCTTTGTGCACTAGCTTGTTCAGTCTCTTCCTGTCTCTGTCTGAGCTGCCTGCACCCCAACAGACCATCAGAGTGGATAACAGAGCCAACCACAGAGTGATAAAAGGATTTCAGCACCTGGGAATTAACTCCAAAGCAGGAAGTCTCTCCACAGTCTTCATCAGATGGACGGTCAAGGCGACAGGTCTGTAGTGGTCTGGGTCCCTGGGATGAGATGTTTTGGGAACTGGAACCGCACAGGAGGTCTTCCACAGGATGGGGACTCTGAGGAGTCGAATCTGTTAAAAAACAGGTTAAGCTCATTAGCCCAGTTCTGGTCTCCTTCAGCAGACTCACTGGCACCACCCCTCCCTCTGTGACTTGTGATGTTCCTCAGGCCTCTCCATGTTCCTCGAGCATTGTTCTGCCCCAGCTCTTTCTCCAGCGTCTTCCTGTAGCTGTCTTTAGCCCGTCTGACCTTATGTTTGAGCTCCTTCTGGACCCGTCTCCAGCCATAGAAGCTGTTTTCTTATCATTCAGCAGCGATTTCAACTCAGGGGTCAACCAGGGTTAATATTGGAGAAACACCTCAGTCTTCATGTTGGGACAGTGTTCTCTACACAGAAATGAACATAATCAGTGACACAGTGGGTCAGGCTGTCAAGGTCTGGGTTAAAAATGCTCTGATCAGAGCAGCAAACCGGGAGTTCATCATCACACTTTGCATAAGTAACGGATGTGTAAAGTTTCTCAACAACAGATTGTTATAGTTTAAAGAGATGATCAGTAGTTTTTACCTTTAGTTTCTGGACATATCCATCAAAACGTTGGTGAAAATGAATAAAATAATGTCCAGTTGTTGAAAAATATTGGCAGCTTCTTACCAAATAACCATAAAAATCAGGTCTAAAGTAGATAATGTGCAGGTCTGGGCAGCTTGGGGTCCTGCGCCTGTCGATGATGCCACACCAGATCACTGAATGAGCATACAGCTTTTGGAAGTAATGTTACCTTGTCCAAAAACGTTCAAGCAGTAAGAAACTCTAATTTAAGAAAAAACTACTAAACACTTTGCAAAACATAAAAAAAGAACAGATTTGAAAAAGAGATGCACTATATTTTGGCCGATTGGCACTGTCGTAGTATGATGACGTCATCGGCAGGCGCAAGCCCCTAAGCAGATCCGGAATGTACGGCGCCTGAACACTACTATTGGCATTGTATTGTCTTATGGAATTACCTGAAGAACCTTCAAAGTCTGAGGAGTCACGCCAAGGTTGCATTCTTTCTCCTCCACGGGTAACGTTTACCGTAATGTTGTTTGTAAAACTACCCTGAAATGTATGTCTCTACTGTCCCCTAGTGGCTGGAAACTACACACTGCTACTTTAATCACTCTGAGAAGTAGCTCAAAAGGTAGTGTGTGTTGTTCAGTAATGAAAGGGTTGTAGGTTCAATTCCAGCTCCCGGTAGAGATTGCTGCTGTAAAAAATAGAAAAAATGAAAAACAGTATTGTTATTATTGTGATTGTTGTTGTTATTATTGTTATTAGTTGTTATGTTATTAATATTGTTATTCTTGTTATTGTTGTTGTTATTATTATTAGTGTTATTATGAATGTGGTTATTATTGTTATTAGTTGTTATAGTTATAGTTATAGTTATAAATATTAATATCTTTATTGTTGTTATTATTATTATTAGTGTTACTATTAATGTGGCTATTATTAATGTTATTAGTTATTGCTATTATTGTTGTTTTTGTTATTATTATTATTATTTGTGTTAATAGTATGGTTATTATTATTGTTAATAGTTGTTGTAATTAATATTGTTGTTATTATTGTTATTGTTATTATTAATGTGGTTATTATTGTTATTAGTTGTTATTGTTATTAATATTGTTATTCTTGTCATTGTTGTTATTATAATTAGTGTTATTATGAATGTGGTTATTCTTGTTATTAGTTGTTATAGTTATAGTTAGTTATAGTTATTAATATTATTATCGTTGTTGTTGTTATTATTATTATTAGTTTTATTATTAATGTGGCTATTATTATTGTTATTAGTTATTGTTATTATTGTAATTATTATTATTATTTGTGTTAATAGTATGGTTATTATTATTGTTAATAGTTGTTTTTGTAATTAATAGTGTTGTTATTATTGTTATTAATGTGATTATTATAATTATTAGTTGTTATTGTTATTAATATTGTTGTTGTTGTTGTCATTAGTTGTTGTTATTGTTGATGTTATTATTAATGTGATTATTATTGTTAGTGTTATTATTTAATATTGTTATTAGTTGTTGTTATTGTTGATGTTATTATTAATGTGATTATTATTGTAAGTGTTATTATTTATTATTGTTATTAGTTGTTGTTATTGTTGATGTTATTATTAATGTGATTATTATTGTTAGTGTTATTATTTATTATTGTTATTAGTTGTTGTTTTTGTGGTAAAAACCTGTTTTACTCTTCAGCTGAAGAGTTTGGGTAATTACTCATTATGTTTTTGAAACATTTGACTGCTTTTAGATTTGATTGAACTCTTAATTGGCTTCTTTTAGATTCAGTCTGTTTTCATCACTGGTTGCTGCAGCGATGGCAGACACACACCACACGCCCAGTTTAGCCCCTCCCATCCCAGTCCTACCAGTGTAGCTAACTGGGCCGACACCAGCTTTGTTCCGGGAGCTCTAGGTTCTTACTTATGGATGTTTTTGTGTTTCAGGATCGTTCACAGCCGGATGTTTGTGATCTGTTTTTCCATGACGTTCCCTTCGAGGCGGATTTTGCCTCTGATGTTGCTGAGCTGCAGTCCATGGCGTCCATGCCGGGGGTGGACGGCTTCACCATGAAGGTGGATGCCCTCTACAAGGTGAGGAGTCGCCCGGAGGATCTTCAGTCATCAGGAGGAGTTAATGACGCTTCCCTATCTCTGTGATTGATAGGTGGAGGCGGGGCATCAGTGGTACCTTCAGGTGATCTACGTAATCAGCCCAGAATCACACTCCAGCACCAGAATCCAGCGCTCTGTCACTTATCAGCTGAGTCGCTCCAAACGCGACCTGGTGGACCGCGGCGGGCGGCTGATGCTGGACGACTCCCTGATCTATGACAACGAGGGCGATCAGGTGAAAAACGGCACCAACATGAAGTCCCTGCACCTGGAGCTCAGCCCGTCCCCCACCTTTAACGCCCATGTGGGCGGCTCGGTGGGCGGAGGTGTGGCTGCCCTCACCCTCATGATCCTGGTTCTCCTGGCGTCGTGCTTTCTGTTCCGCCGCTGCAGACGAGCGGCCAAGAAGAAGAGCGAGGCGGCACCCAAAGGCTACGAAGAATACCCGCTGAACACCAAGGTGGAGGTGTGCATGGACAAATGTGTGGAGAAGAACTTCAGCTCCAAGCACTGCACGGTGAGGAACGTCAACATCAACCGCAACCAGGAGGCGAGTGGGAAGGTGAAGCAGGTCAACCTGGAGGTGAAGGTCCTTAACAACCTGAGCGATGGCACTGAGGTGTGAGACCACGTTTGTAGCTTATGGAGCAGGTCCTTTTATACTGGTGTGACAAAAGGGAAGCTACCTCAGGAATATTCTGATCTTCCAACATCTGTTAGGTTTTGCTCCACCTTCAGAGCAGCGAAGCAGAACGAGAATCTCTTCATGCCTCTCACCGTCGCGGCTGCATCGACGTCCTGGAGTTGAACTGTTACGGTCTGCTGCTGTGCCCCAGAGGCTCTATCCCTGTAAAAAACCACAAATAAGCGGTTCCTTTCAAGTGCAATTACACCCCCCCCCCCCCCAACACACACACCTGCAACTGAAGCACTGCCACCTTTACTCTCTCCAGATTCTCTAATTTTAATAAAGTATCTTTGAACTGAATTAAGTGCCATGCAGATCTTACTCCTCATAGGTCCAAACACAGATGCGATGCTGATGGGGGGGTCTGCCCAAAGAAACAATCATCCTGCGTGTTTCTGCGTCGCGGATCGGCCGTTTTGTCCTGCTTTATGTTCAAACTACTGATTTGTTTTTATTTCTCAGTAATTCTGGTTTGAAGCACTGAAACCTTGTGTTTATTTCTCTGATCCCACCTTTTGTCCTCTAGCTGCGTGCCTGTCCAACAGAAGAATGGGGAACTGGGGGAAACATATTTTTGGTGCTGTTTGATTTTATTTTTTGAAAAATAAAACATAATTAGGATATTGCCTGTATTGAGTGCCTTTTTTTAGTAATAAATCAATTTAATAATAAAACTGTGTTTTTAGTTTTCTTCTTTCATGTTTGTTCTAATAATTTGGACAAAAACATGAAACTTACTACTGATTATGTCAGATACTGGAGTAAAGCTGAAGGGCTTATGGTGGTTGGTGCGTGTGGTGTACGAGGTGTCTCTGAAGGCATCACCTGAGCGAGCACAGGTGTGTCCAGGTGTGTGAAGGTATGGTCTTCACTCAAAAACAGGTAAGCTTTTGTTTTTTACTGTTTTACCCTAAATTCTCGTTTATTCTTTTATCTTGAACCTGTTGAGTGTTTCTAGGTTTGTGTTCGTGGGTTTCCTTTAATCTGGCTTTTCACCAGTGATGGGTGGATGCTGGGAGCTTTCTTCAGCTGAATGAAGATAAGACTGAGATCCTCATCTGTGCCCCAGACAAGCTGGTTCCCAAAGTCAGAGACTCTCTTGGTCAGCTTGCTTCTCACACCAAACCTTCTGTCAGGAATCTTGGCGTGACCTTTGACCCAGCTCTCACCCTGGATTCTCATGTCAGTTCTCTTGTTCGCTCTTCCTTCTTCCATCACAACACAGGGTTGTGTTGGTGTGCTTGTAGCTGCAAAGCAACAATTACACATAAATGTGTAAGGTTTAAGATTTTTCACAGTTGCTCTTGAACGCACCCTTTTTTCCACTAGCAGCTTTGTAAAGTTGCTAGGTTATTTCTGCATAGGTAAAAATCTGCTGTTCTAAACTTAGGAAATCAGTTTTTTTGTATTCCATCTATTTCTATGTCCAATATAGAATCGGACTTGTCCATGTTAATTTGTTGATGCTTTTTCTGTCTTTTGTAAGTTTGGATAAAAATGTCTGTAAAACACATGAACAAAGACTGGATTGTCTGCCTGTTCTTGTGTCTGTTCCAGTTTCTATATGTATCCATAATTTCTGTGTTTTTATGTTTTAGTAAAGAGATTTGAACGTATTCGTGAGGCATTTAGACACGTTCATTCGAGTTCCCAGCTGCTCTTGAACGCACCCTTTTTTCCACTAGCACGTGCAGCTAGCTTTAGCTTCGGTAACGAGGGGAGTGAACTGTCAACTTGGCAAAATTGAAGCCCTGCTTTTCAAAAAGGGGTAAATCTTCTGTTTTATACAAAACAATCTACTCTTTCAGTTCTCTGAAGCAACTTTAGAAAAATATTATTAACTACGCAGGTGTAAAAGTTCGTCGAACTACCAAACCTAAATTATGGTTAGCGTGTCAGCTAAGCTAATACCAGTGCATTAGCTAAAATATTCTAACATATGTTAATTTTTATGTACCTTTAAAGATAACCAAAAATTAGCTGTCTTGCTTCTCATCGCGTTTTAGAAGCTGGTAAATGTTCCTGTTGCTTTAGGAATGAGGGAAGAACAGGAAATAAAAACATGAAAGTGCTGTCAAGTAATTTTATTTCTGAAAATGTGTCTTGTAAGTTAAAATAACAGTCTAACCCTAACACATAAAATAAACATTATTTTTGAATAATATGATAATTATAAGACACTGTAAAAAAACTTAGCTAATTATAAAAAAATTATACCACCGTTCAATAAAACAGATTATATCACAATTGTTAAACATTATAGTATATTAAAAAAACTGATTATTGTGGAAAATTTTAGAAAAGTTATTGAACAATAGATACAATTTCTGATCAATTATAGATTATTAGAATATTTTAGAATATTTTATTTTTGACAATCTTCAGTGTCATCTTCCTCCTGTTCATAACTTTTGGTTGGCACAATAACTGTCCTCTATTTTCCAGAGAAATCTTAGTTTAAAACCACAAATATATTCAATATCATAATTGTTATTATTACTGTTACCATTATTATTAAGATAATGTCTAAAAAACAACTTATTGTACCTAAAAGAGTTCATAATTTCTTTTACTTGTTCAGGGCGTATGTTAAAATCTGGCAGATTTGATTTTCATGTGATAATTTCACCAACTTTACACATATATCCATATTTAGCACAACTGGTCAACCTTGTGACGTGAGAGTTTCATAAACCAATTTCATTCTTCGGTTGAGATCTGACCGTAAACACAAGAGGAGACAGCACTTTTCTGGCTCCGCAGACACACCAATATTTGGCGCATTATAGCCAAATAGTAAAAAACCAACAGCTCAGAGAGGTAATCTGGAGCACGGCCATGCAAAGATTTTAAAGCCTATAAAAGCACCCACTCTAGAATTGATGAGGGAGTTGACGAGGACTTGGATCGATAGACGAAATCGACAATGCCATTGGTTTAAATAAAAATGTATCAATTCCCACCCCTGTTGAACTGGTGTTCACTGGATTGTTTTAATTTTACTGTTAAATTCCTTCAGTCACTAACGTAATCTGACTCATTTGGAGCTATTTTATCTGCATGATGAAACGTTCCTCTCCTTCAGGGAACAGTGGTTATATGCATAACCTAACGTTCTCTTTCAATCGATTCACTCAGTACAACAAAGGTACTATGGGACTTATCAAAACACCCCATGAGCAGCTATCAAACCTGGCCTGAGATTGCAACCTAAGATGGCAAGTCAGATCTAGCAGAGAGAACTGCATGGGCCACAGAAGAGGCCAAAACGTCCAAGCGGTAAAACCTCACAAAGGTGTGGGGTGTAGCCCAGCTTGCAGGTGAGAAAATGTCACCAACTAAAACACCCTTAAGGTTGGTTTATGCTTGACGCGTCCGCGAGGTCCGCACGGCTCCTCGCGGAAAAGTTGCGTCATTTTGTGTCATTTTAACAACCACGCCCCTCCACCGCGCCTCCGCACGGCCCAGAATTTCCGCAACGTGCACCTCGGAAAATTTCTAACCACACGGACGGACGCGGAAAAACATGGCGGACCGGCAAGAACTAGTATGGCAGAGGTTCGTAAATACAGACATTTGTATGATTCAGCTCTCAGACATCACCGTGATCAACATGTTAATAATTCTTGGAGAGAAATAGCTCGCACTGTCGGAAAAGACGAGAACGCTGTTAAAAATGCTGGAATGCCATGTTGTAAACAGTAATTTCTACTTCTACTATGGTGTAGTGTTGGATGCATGCCGTAGAGCTCCATGCTGCCCCGTTCACTTTGGGAGAATATTGGCTCACGGCAGAGACAAGCCGCATGAACCATAAACACTGCGAGTTGTGAAGCGCGTTCCATCCGCGAGTCGCATCACCGCGCGGAAAGTGAATGCGTCAAGCACAAACCAAACTTTAAACAGCACCCAAGAAGCAGCCACACCTCTAGTAGAGTGTGCCCTGACCCCTATAGGGGCAGCTGGGAGCCAGTGACACTGTAACACAGGGAAATAGCCTCTACAATCCAATGAGAAAGTCTTTGCTTTGACAAAGCTTTATCCATGGAGGGTTTGGCAAAACACAAACAGTTGGTCTGTTTTTCTTATACTCCCGAGTGCAATTTATATAAGCCTGCAGAGCACGAACCGGGCACAGACAATGCAGTCTCCTCTGCTCCTCAGAGGCAAAGGGAAGACTACTGAAGCCCGAAAGCTCTATGGTCATGGAACCATAGTTGAGCTGGATGACCTTAGGCAAATACGCAGCATTCGGATGCAGAGTGACCCTAGCTCCATCTGATGACATTTTCAGACAGGAAGGGTGAACTGAAAGAGCATGAAGGTCTCCCACCCTTTGAGCTGATACAAGGGCTAAGAGCAGAGCTGTCTTATAAGACAGAAGCTTCATACTGATCAATTCATTCAATATGCTCAAATGGGGTACCACACAGGGCTGCCAGCACCAAAGCGCGGTCCCAAAAAGGGACAATACAATAATTTTAGCTTCAGTCTGTGTCAGATTACAACAGACGTCATTTTAGGTTCCCCTTTCTTTAGAAAATCCGCCATCAGCCACCTGCAAAGTAGGGGTAGACCAATGTATCGGCCGGTATTTGTCCTTCGTAAAGCTGATTGGTGCATCCTCGGGCAGCCCGGTGCTGTTGCAGAATTTAATTTAAATGTCTTTTTACATTCACTGATAACATCTGCACCATAAATACTCTAAATTAACTTTATTTAGGTGTCTAACTTTAACACTGAGCAGTGCTCAAAGTTAAGATTTAACAGTTAGTTAAATTCAGTGATTAAAAACTGATTCAACTTCATAAATTTTGTGCATCTGATCAACTGACACCATTAGTGACATTTTTAACAAGAAAATAAGATGGAAAATATCCAGATTCCGGCCGTGAAAATCAGCCCATACATTCCGGCAGTTCATATCGGCCATCGACTGACCATGTCTCGTGCATACTGGCATCGGTAGCTGCAATGGAAAAAAGTAAATTGGTCGACCTCTACTGCAAAGCACTGTTGAGATGTTTTTAGTGGGTTATTTTTAGGAACTCATTCTGTGACTGACTCCTGTTTCATGATGCTGCAGACACGGGTCCACAAGTTGAAAATCAGGAGATGAGGAAACCAAAAAGTCAAAAGTGTCAGAAACAACAGAAGTCTGCAGCAGGATGTTCTGCATCATGTGAGCTTAAAATCTCATGCTTTCTTAAATCGTTTTGGCAATTTTAGTTGACATCATCTCATTTTCCTTTGAAGCAAAAGTTACATCCAAAAAGATTTCTTTCAAGAGAAATGAGAAGGGAGAGACACTTCTTCACAAAGCCTGCAAGCAAAAGGATCTGGAGCAAGTGAAACGTCTCCTTCAGGCTGGAATCAGTGTCAACATGGAGGATTATGCAGGTTCCTCTCTACTCAGGCACATTGTTTCCTGTAGCTGTTGTGTACTCTCACCCACAAAGTCTGATCCGGTTTGTGCCTTTTGACTGGAACACTCAGGGTGGACGGCTCTCCATGAGGCCTGTACTGAGGGTGCTGATGCTGTGGTGGAAGAGCTGCTGAAGGCTGGAGCCATGGTCAACACCAGGAGCTGTGATGGTGTGACGCCCCTGCATGATGCTGTTTTCTCTGGACACTGTCAGGTCAGGGGAAAAGGTTAAATCAAGCTGTTGGTAGAAGATCACATCTAATGTTTTAGGAATTAAAACCAGAATTACCTTCAGTGTAGGGGTGCATCATCATTTATCTGTGATCCGTACGCATCTCTCTCCACGGTTCGGCATGCATGCCGTTTGTGGATTGGTCACGTGGAGGCGCTACCTGTTCAGTCCAAAGGAGAAATGCACAGCGGTGGTCATGGAGGAGGAGAGGAGCTTGAAACACCACCTGCATCGTTTAGGTCACATGTATGGGAGCATTTTGACTCTCCTTTAAAATATACTAACGGCAAAAATAAACATGTGCAAGTGTGCCGCGCCGCGCCTTCAGTTTGATGGCGCGGTGCCGCACACGCATGCCATTTTAACATTTAATCAATGTCAATCAATTGGACCTATCTGTAACTCCTGCTTTTATAGCAAGTTGCAAATTGAGCAGAAGATGTTGCACTAAGAAAGCAAACCTATTTGTTTTTTCTTTTTGATGATCCGAAAAAAGATCCAATCCGTGACTGAAAACCGTGATACGATCCGAACTGTAAGATTTTTGATCCGTCGCCCGCTACTTCAGTGTGTTAATTGAGTATTTTTGGGACAGAAATCTTTGTGTTTTTTTGTATTAGTTACGTGTTTCATGTCTCACAGGTGGTGAAGCTTCTCCTTCAGAGCGGAGCAAACCCCTACGATAGGACTCTCAGTGGCAAGAGCGCATTTGAAATGGCAGACGAGGAGAACATCAGAGAACTGCTCATGACCTTTCAGGCTTCTTCTGTTACACAGGTGACCACCTGGAATGAGGGTGGGTCAGGTCACTCAGGTGAGCATCGTTATAAACTTAAGCAGGGAGTCCAAACATTTTAAAATCCAAAGTATCTTTTTCTTTCTTCCTAATTTCAGATACTTTGAGATTCTTGATTATTTTTAGTGATCTGAGTGCTGGATTGTTTCAGGTGCTGGACCAGAGGTGCAACATCAGAGTTTCCTCCAGTCTGGAGAGTCAGGTGATGGGGGCGGAGCCACAGAAACAATTGACATTCCACTGAGAACAGATGATGTCACTACTAACATTGTGAGACGTGTGAATAAAAGCCTTCCCGAAATGAACATTTGTTTTCGTTCAGACGCTCATCTAATGACTATCTTCACTTTAGCTTGCACATGTGGTGTTAGCTTAGTTTACTATATTTCAAACAAACACAAAAAGAGATAAGAAATCAAATTCATTCATTCATAAATGTTCTCATGGATGTGATTCAGTCTTTCAGGGTTCAGAGTCATTTGGTGGCTGTGACAGAAGTTTTGGAGGAGGTGAGAAGTAAACAAGAAGAAATGTTGACCTGGCCTCTGAGTGATCTACTGGATTTAGGTGAGACCTGCCTCAAGCATTTCAGCCGTCAACACTAAAGCAAATTATAATTTAATGCTGGGGCCCACAACTTTACCTCATGAAGCAGAGGAGGAGGAAATTTTGAATTTGAGCAGCTATTGCTCCTCCCCCGCCCATCCTAAAATAGCCTAAAACCACGCTTCCTAAATGCACTCGCAGGAAAGCCGAGTCAACAGAGAGAGGATGTTTTCAACCAAAACTTTAACTACAAATGGCATTTTATAAAGAATATAAATGTATATTTTAAAAAGACTAGTAACAGTTGACATAATGTTATAAATCGGGTTGGTCACATTTTCCTGGAATCGTTGATAGATTACACTCCCTATTACGCTCACTGTTTTTCCCTCACTGCTGTAACATGGTGTAAGTGGTTACTTTTAATAAATGGTCAGTAAGATGTGATATTCCATATAAATAAGAATTATCAATATTTTGATGTAAGATGAAACCAGGTCTTTTTGTGGGTTATTGAACATAAGGTCTATTTTTTAAGACCTTGTTAGTTAATGACTTGATCTGTGATAATCAGATTTCATTGCTCTCTCACAGAATCCTGGCTGCAGTAAGAGGACTATGTTAGTTTAAACAAGTCGACTCTTTCTAATTATTTAAATCATATTGCTCGAAGTACAGGGCGAGGAGGAGGAGTAGCAACCATTTTTCATTCAGGCCTATTAATCAATCCCTTACCAATTAATAGTTACAGTTCTTTTGAACATCTTATTGTTAGTTTTCCTAATCCAGATTGCAAAACTGTAAAACCACTCTTATTTGTAGTTTTGTATCGTCCACCAGGCCCTTACTGAGTTTTTGGATCAGGTCTCTGATTTTTTTATCTGATTTGGTGCTAAATACTGATAAGGTCATTGTAGTGGGGGATTTTAACATCCATGTGGACATTGAAAGTGATAGCCTCAATGTAGCCTTTAGTAATATCTTAGACTCTATTGGTTTTACCCAAAGAATACATAGCTCCTCCCACTCCTGCCATCACACATTAGACCTTGTGCTGACTTATGGCATAGAGTGTGAGGAAGTAACGATGTTTCCACATAATCCAGTCCTCTCGGAGCACTTTTTGATAACCTTTGAGTTTTTTTTTATAACTGAGTTCTCCAGACATGAAAGTAAATTTCACTATAGTCTGTCTCTATCTGACAACGCTGTTGCATCTTTTAAATCAACTGTTCCATCTTTACTGTCTTCAGCATCTCAGAGGAACGTAGCAGAAGGCAATATTTTCATTTCTAGCTGTTCACAAATTGATGCCTTAGTTCATGATGTAACTTCCTCTTTACGTGTGGCATTAGATGATGTTGCCCCTTTAAAAAAGAAGGTAATTAGGCACAGGAAGTTGGCTCCCTGGTTTAAACCTCATTTATGAGCTTTAAAACAAAACTCTAGAAAATGGAGAGAACATGGCGCTTTACACACCAGGAGGAGTCCTACGTATCCTGGAAAAATAGTCTTGTGCTTTATAAAAATAAGCTTTGACAAGCTAGTACTGCTTTTTTTTCATCGCTAATTGAGGAAAATAAGAATAATCCAAAATTTCTTCTCAGTACAGTTGCCAAACTTACACAGAATCATAGCTCTGAACCATCTATTCCTTTAGCACAGAAGTCCAATAACAAAACACCACTCAAATTCAGATCAGGGGGGCCGTTCCTCCCTACCACACCTCTCGAGGTCTTACTGTCGTTGCCCACGTGAGCGTTAAAGTCCCCGAGCAGAACGAGGGAGTCACCGGAAGGAGCGCTTTCCAGCACCCCCTCCAAGGACTCAAAAAAGGGTGGGTAGTCTGAACTGTAGTTTGGTGCATAAGCACAGACCACAGTCAGAACCCATCCCCCCAAATGTAGGCAGAGGGAGGCTACCCTCTCATTCACTGGGGTAAACCCCAACGTACAGGCACCAAGATGGGGGGCAACTAGTATGCCCACCCCTGCTCAGTGGGAGCAACTCCAGAGTGGTTGAAAGTCCAACCCCTCTCAAGGAAACTAGTTGCGGAGCCAGAGCCATGCGTTGAGGTGAGTCTGACTATATCTAGTCGGAACCTCTCAACCTCACACACCAACTCAGGCTCCTTCCCCACCAGAGAGGTGACATTCCTTGTGCCAAGAGCCAGCTTCTGTAGCGGAGGATCAGACCGCCAAGGTCCCCGCCCTTGACTACCACCCGTCACACACACTGCACCCGACCTCTTTGGCCCCTCCCATGAGTGGTGAGCCCATAGGAAGGGGTCCCACGTTTCCTCTTCGGGCTATGCCCGGCCGGGCTCCATGGGTGAAATCCCGGCCACCAGGCACTCTCCAACGTGCCCCACCTCCAGGCCTGGCTCCAGAGGCGGGCCCCGGTGACCCACGTCCGGGCGAGGGAACACGGTTTCCATTTATGTAATTCATCATAAGAGTTCTTCAGGCTGCTCTTTATCTGATCCCTCACCTAGGACCTGTTTGCCATGGGTGACCCTACCAGAGGCATAAAGCCTCAGACAACTTAGCTCCTAGGATCATTGAGACACTCAAACCCCTCCACCACTGTAAGGTGGCAGCCCAGGGAGAGGGCAAAAATATAGTTTATAAAAATCTATTTAATACTGTATTTCTAAACTAATGATGACAGAACAAGTTATGATGAATGATTGTTAAAACAAGATAACTGAGACAATGGACGAAAAGATGGAATGTGAGCTTAGAGGTTATGTAGCGAGACCTGATTAAGTGTCTTTTGAAACTTGTGATGTCTGGGTTGTAACATGTCTGACTGTATGGTTTAACAAACTATCCGTTAAACGGTCCATGCCAGTAGTACAGAGTCTACGAACCCTTGCGGTGAAGGCTCCGGGCAATCCAGGGGCCGGAGAAGCGGTACAAACGGACTGTTTCCTCTACATAGACTCAGGCATGGCGCTGTGCCACGGCTGAATTTCTAGCGCCACGCCTACGAGATTTTTCTATTTACCTGTGTTGTGTTTTAGGCAGGTATCAAGCGACGTTGATCCAGACCCACAGCGCTCTGACAGGTGTCCTGGCCCGGCAGCGTTCAGAGAAGGACGAGCTGACACGTAAATACAGGTGAGTTCAGTGAGAGGTTTGGCCATTTTCAAGTGGTGGTGTATTTGTTACTTATCCACAGTAAGAACCCTACCTGCTAGTGATGGGAATTCTGGCTCTTTTTAGAGAGCCGGTTCTTTTGGCTCCCAAGTGGCTCCTCAGATTTTCTGTTGCGTAAAGTATATTTATCACCAAAAATAATGCTAAACTATATGTAAAATTATTTACTATTGTAAAAAAATGCATTTATCATTTATATGGATTTATTTACTGAACACTTTAAGAAATCTCAACTTTCCGACTGTTGTCGCTCATTTTCTCACCGTCTTCGTCGCACTCTCCTCTCTCGCTCGCCTTTTATCCTCCTCCTCATTCCCTCTCGTCTCCCTCCTCCCACATGTGCTCTGCTGTGTGTCTGTCTGAGTCTGATCCTCCCTCTTCCTCCCCCTACTGCTCTGTGTGTGGATAGTCTGGACACACAGTTGCACATGTTGACCAATCACCTGTGGCTTTCACCAAAGCAAGAGGGGGAGGGGAGGGAGGGTGACTGCTCCCAACGACGAGCCGGCTCCCGTCGTTCACTTCTTAGAGCCGGTTCGTTCGTGACCGACACATCACCACTACCTGCAGGTGGTTTCACTCAAAGTGGGTGGAGTCTCCTGAAGGAGGAAGAAGTTCACTGACTAGAGAGGATGATTTTTTGGAGATGTAACAGAATCTTTGAATTCAGCTTTCACCGTCCATGAGATGCAACTAGGACCTGCAGGTTAGATGTCTGTCTGAGGTGTTGAGTGGCTCTTAAAAGAGCCGTTGTGTCTTAAATCACTCGCAAGCGTTGCAGAGAGGCTTTGACCTTCAGGTCAAAAAAGAGGATGGGTTCAAATGTGGCTCACCGATTTGGCTGAACCAGGAGGAGCCGGAAATGAACTAAATCAGGAAATGATTCCTGTTTTATCACCTTCCTTGTTTATAAACTTGAATTTGACACATATGAAGGCATTACCAAAATACCACAGAAGTCACTCCTTTCCTCAGATACAAAGAGGGGTTAACTCTTTTCGTGAAGTGGTAAAGCTTTAAACATTTATGTGAAGTGAAAGTTAAACCCTTAATTTTAATATTATGATGTATGAGTACACTAAAAGATTAACTTGTTAAATCAACAAACACTGATCTGGTGTAGTTTAAGATCTGAGATGAATCATTGCAGGAAAAATATTCATTTTAAACACATCATTGATTAATGCACACATTCAAACACTTTGGGATTTAACAAGAGGTGATTAAATGACACTGTTGCAATTATCAAGTTTTAGAAAGTAATTTATGATTCAAGAAAGATTAACTTTATTCACAGTGAAAATAAAAAGTCTTGTCTCCTACATGAGACTTTGAGCAAAGATATTATGGCTTCTTTGGTCGGTTGCACGTCATATATCCTTGTTTTTCTTGCATGGAGGCCAGACAGATGTAATGCGTCACTGGATGCGTGACGTAGTTTGTGGCTGCAAATTAAAAGTTAATTACTGTTTATTTTGATAACAAACTTGACCTTTGGTACGCAACATGATAGAGCACCAGAACATAAGTAGGGATATTTATTGTGCTATTATTGTGCTGTATTGTGTATGTACAAGATGGGCCATTTATAAGGATACACCGGTGAGAGACGGTTTCTGTCAGAGATGTTTACTCTTCAGTATCCAGAATGGTAATGAATCACGCATGATGGGAAGGCCCCGCCTATTGACTCTACCTGCCAGTCGGAGTCTCCCCCTATTGGTGGGCATGGATTTGAGCCGTCCAATCATTTGACAATGGGATTTTTTGTGTTTATGTTTTGAGGGCATGTAGCGATAAATATAGATTTATATCTGTGTTTATCAAATGTGGTGTAGACTTGGTTTTTTTTCGTCGTTTATAATTTTATATTAATTAATCGGGGCACCACCCAGTCTTTGTTAGTGTGACCTGGGGACACTCGAAGGGATATTCAGGTTTGCTCAAGGTAATCAGTCTAAAATTTAACGCCACAAATTAGTCTGAAAGCTGAATACTTGCCAGAATGCGCAGACTATTCTCGAGAGCACTAGAAAATGATCAGGCTTTGTTTACGTTTTTGTGAGTTTATTACAAACATCCGTTAATACATTGGCAAAGGGACCAAACAACTTATTGTTTCATGCATGGAATTAAGTAAATTGTTAACCCAAAGCTTTATGGCAGTGATATGAAATAAGTGATCTGTAATAAAGGTGGAAACTTGGTGAAACACAAGATTATAGTAAAATGGGGAGTAATTTCTACGGGGTAAACACGTGAATTTTCATGTGAGTTTGTGGGAAGTGGTGAAGTGCATGGTGCAATTTATGACCCTGGGAGAGAATCGTAGGAGTTAACCAGAATGCTGAAAAGCTGCAGGCCAGTTTCCCCTTTTTGCTGCTGGAAATTTGGGAAGCCGAGAGCGATTGGAGTGCGACCTGTGCCCACGGAATGTGCCGCTCGTGCGGCGACCTCACAAACTGGGACGTTACTCGAGGTGAACCGCAAGCTGGATAATGTCCTCGCGGCATTGCCTGTATTAGTACGCAAGATGGATATGATCTCGGAGAGGGTCGCCGGACGATGTGGGGATGTTTAGAACATAAAATTGGCTTCACTGGTGGACATGAATGACCACTTAGAGACTCCAAGGCGGAGAGGAAAATTATCTCTGCCTGCCCCAAACAAAGTCATGTTTATCCTTATCTGACGCCAAAGCAGCCTCTCAAGGCTGCTTCAACACACCCCCACGAAAGGAGGAATGCCGACAGATGTTGTGTCCCGACCTTCACCCTCTTCCTTCAGATTGAGACGTCTGCGGGAAACTTCAGTGTGCTCTCTGGTCCTTATCTCTCCCTCCCACCTGTTGGTCTGCAGCTGGTCGATGCGCCGCAGTGGCAGCTCCCATTGGAGGCTTCAGGATCCCGCCCAACCCCGCCTCCCCATCGGACTCTGATGTTGTATCTGTGCTGTTTGTGCTTCCATGTTAAAGGAGTTTTTTTTGTATAATAGAGTTACTCCCCGCTGGGGCTAACTCTGCTATGCCTTTTTTTACCTACCACTTATCCTCATGTAACACCCTTTTCATCTATCTATTAAGGTAGCGCGACTCATGTTGCGAATGACCGCAGTCACCAATTCTTGTCATGTGTCTTACCCACGTATGTCTGATCTTTGAATTGTGTGTGCTGAAACTCAATTTCGTTTCTCTGTATGTCCTGCACATGTGGTAGAAATGACAATAAATTACTTTGACTTTGACTTGACTTGAAGTGTGAGAGAAAGAAAAGCTTTGTGAAAATAGTTATGTTCTTTGTGTGAATCCAACGAAAGTTAATCTGAGAATATGAAATGTGGATTTCCGCTACAGGCACAATGGCGGTCCTGTTGACAAATTTAATGGAAGCAGCATCCTGACCAGTCTCAGTCAACAGATTTTTAGAAAAGTGGACTTGACATTGTCCGTCCTCGCAAGCCTGTTGGAGAGCCCTCTCAACGATGGATAATGGCGTTGCATGTCTCTGCACCAACGCAGACAGAGAAGCATTAACTAGGCTTTAGGCTCCCTATTGGAGCATCCCAGTTATTAGCAGCCAGTAGAGATGGGTAGGTGTGGCCAGAAGCAGCTTGTTTACTTAAAGTGACAGAACCCTGAAAGGACGGTCTGGAAAGCATTGAAATGTTCCAGAATAAAGCTGCTGAAATGACTTTATATGAGAGGGATTTAGTGCATAGAACTACACAAACCTTTGTGATGTCTACCGTAGAACCACTATAACTTAAGAAAAATAGGCACGTCCTCTTTACATAGATTTTTCATATAATCCTGACTTTTGTGTTTTGTTTCCCGCTGCAGGACAGTCCCACACCACTTTCACCAGTTAGTGTTGAAAAATCGGGTCCTCGATCTGCTTTCGTGTCACAGAAACTTGTTGGAAATCCTCCAGAAGCAAAAACAGCTGGAAGAAGCTTATTTTAGTGCCAAGGCAAGAGTTTCAACTGAACCAAGTCTGGACCAAGGGGGAAATAATCTAACAGGAGAGGAGATGGATCAGAACTTTTCCCAAGACTCCACACCAGACTTTTTATTAACACCTAGCTGCTATTTAATCAAGGAACAGACCAGTAGACCAGTTACTCAGGCTGGTGCATCCCAGCATCTGAAGAGAGTCTGTAGCTGTCAGAGGGACCCCAACATGAGAGGAAAGAATGTGTTGCTGCAGAGGAGTGTTGAAGACCAGCACCAATGTCTCCATCAGCTCATTCAGGGGGGGGCGGTGGCACCAGGAAGCACTTTAGAGCTCGTTTTGAAGGTCAGTCAAAGCTCATCTTTTTATAATTCTCATTTCATCTCTGGCTCTCATGAGAGTCTTCACAAATTACACTATAAATCAGAAAATGTTTCTCGTGCTGTTTTAGCCTTTAGTTATGAAACCGTCAGATTTTGGCTGCTCTTTTAGGGTAAGCAGCACACGGCCCGTCTGACAGCTGATGGTACGTTGATGAGCAAAGGCCGGTTGCATCGAGCTCCAGAGCGCTGGCTGGAGTCTATCCTCGGAAAAAATATTCCTGTCAGCTCATCCTATGCCTTGGACAAGGTTAGTCACCAGGAAGTCTGCACCTTATCACTCACAGCTACTTTTTAATGCAACCCCAGCAGCCTGAGGTCAGAGGTCACCAAGGCCAAAAACCAAAACACAGAAATAAATGATTATGCCAATAATTAGAACCAAAGCATTTATGGCTACAATGTGTAATAGCCTCCCTAAAATGAAGAGTTGGCAATTAATCAATTACAAAAATATTTAGCATTGATGTAACAACAATGCACAATATAAATTAAAACTCTAAATAAAATGTTTCACTTGACCCCACTCGTGTACTTTAAATAATCAATTATAAATGTACAGGAGTATAACTGAAAGGCCTGCTGAGAAGGAGTGTAAAATTAAATATGGTCTCTAATAAAAACATCCATCCATCGATCCATTTTCATCTGCTTATCCGGAGTCGGGTCGCGGGGGCAGTAGCCTAAGGCGAGAGGCCCAGACTTCCCTCTCCCCAGCCACTTGGGCTAGCTCCTCTGGGGGAATCCCAAGGCGTTCCCTGGCCAGGTGAGAGACATATTCCCTCCACCGTGTCCTGGGTCTACCTTTAGGTCTCCTCCCGGTTGGACGTGCCCGGAAAACCTCACCAGGGAGGCGTCCAGGAGGCATCCTGACCAGATGCCTGAGCCACCTCGGCTGGCTCCTCTCGATGTAGAGGAGCAGTGGGTCTACTCCGAGCCCCTCCCGAATGACCGAGCTTCTCACCCTATCTCTAAGGGAGAGCCCAGCCACTCTTCGGAGAAAACTCATTTCAGCCGCTTGTATCCGCGATCTCGTTCTATAGGTTACTACCCAAAGCTCATGACCATAGGTGAGGGTAGGAACGTAGATCGACCGGTAAATCGAGAGCTTTGCCTTCTGACTCAGCTCTCGCTTCACCACGACAGACCGGTACAATGCCCACATCACTGCAGACGCAGCACCAATCCGCCTATCGATCTCACGCTCCAGTTTTCCCTCACTCATGAACAAGACCCCGAGATACTTAACTTCCTCGACTTGGGGCAGGACCTCATCCCTGACCCGGAGAAGGCATTCTACCTTTTCTGAATCAAGACCATTGTCACAGATTTAGAGGAGCTGATTCTCATCCCTGCTGCTTCACACTCAGCTGCGAACTGCTCCAGCAAAAGCTGAAGATCACGTTCTGATGAAGCCAACAGGACCACATCATCTGCAAAAAGCAGAGACCTGATCCTCAGGCCACCAAAACGGATGCCCTCCACACCTTGGCTGCGCCTAGAAATCCTGTCCATAAAGGTTATGAACAGAATTGGTGACAAAAGGCTTTTTCACCACCTCAGTGACCTCAGCACCAGAGATTTGAGAGGCCAACCCAAAGTGCCCAGACTCTGCTTCCCCACTGGAAGACGTATCGGTGGGATTGAGGAGGCATTCAAAGTATTCTGCCCACCGATCCACAACGTTCTGAGTAGAGGTCAGCAGCACACCGTCCCCACTATAGATAGTATTGGTAGCGCACTGCTTTTCCCCCCTGAGGCGCTGGATGGTGGACCAGAATCTCCTCGAAGCCATACGGAAGTCTTGCTCCATGGTTTCACTGAACTCCTCCCATGCCCGGGTTTTTGCCTTGGCGACCACCCGAGCCGCGTTCTGCTTGGACTGCCGGTACCCTTCAGCTTCCTCTGGAGTCCGACAGGCCAAAAAGACCTGATAGGACTCTTTCTTCAGCTTGACAGCATCCCTAACCGCCGGTGTCCACCAGGGGATTTGGGGGTTGCCATCACAACAGGCACCGACGATCCTGCGACCACAGCTCTGGTCGGCCACCTCAACAATGGAGGCACGGAGCAGGGTCCATTCAGACTCAATGTCCCCCGCCTCCCCTGGAACATTTTGGAAGTTCTGTCAGAGGTGGGAATTGAAGCTCCTTCTGACAGGAGACTCTGCCAGATGTTCCCAGCAGACCCTCGCGATACGTTTGGGCCTGCCTGGTCTGACCGGCACCCTCCCCCACCATCTGAGCCAACTCACCACCAGGTAGTGGTCAGTTGACAGCTCCGCCCCTCTCTTCACCCAAGTGTCCAAGACATGCGGCTGCAGGTCAGATGAAACAACAACAATGTCGATCATCGAGCTGCGGCCTAAGGTATCCTGGTGCAATGTGCACATATGGACACCTTTATGTGAACATGGTGTTCATTATGGACAATCCATGACTGTCACAGAAGTCCAATAACAAAACACCACTCGAATACAGATCGGGGGGCCGTTCCTCCCAACCACACCTCTCCAGGTCTCACTGTCGTTGCCCACGTGAGCATTAAAGTCCCCCAGCAGAACGAGGGAGTCACCGGAAGGAGCGCTTTCCAGCACCCCGTCCAAGGTCTTCAAAAGAGGTGGGTAGTGTGAACTGTAGTTTGGTGCTTAAGCACAGACCACAGTCAGAACCCGTCCCCCCACACGTAGGCGGAGGGAGGCTACCCTCTCATTCACTGGGGTAAACCCCAGCGTACAGGCACCAAGATGGGGTTAACTTGTATGCCCACCTCTGCTCGGTGCCTCTCAGTTGGAGCAACCCCAGAGTCGTAGAAAGTTCAACCCCTCTCAAGGAAACTGGTTCCAGAGCCAGAGCCATGCGCTGAGGTGAGTCCGACTATATCTAGTCGGAACCTCTCAACCTCACACGCCAACTCAGGCTCCTTCCCCACCAGAGAGGTGACATTCCATGTGCCAAGAGTCAAGTCACTGAGCCACGTTTCATTAAAGCAGAGGGCAGCGGAGTGTGCAAAGTCTCTATTAGTCCTGTTCAGAAGGAGGAGTTTGTCTGTTTTATTAGGTAGGGATCGAACGTTCGCTAGGTGTATTGCTGGGAGAGGCACACGAAATCCCCGCTGGCGGAGTCTCACCAGCGCCTCTGCTCATTTACCACTCCTGCGTTTCCTTCACGAACAAACAGTAGCAGTAACTAGGAGTCGTTGCAGCAGAAAGAAGAAAGGGAATTCTTGAGGCTAAACATGAATTTGGATCCAAATAAAACTCACCATAAAAGTATTGGACTAATCTGAATTCACAAATCGTGGTTTGGCAGAAAAATCAGCCAGAGGGAATGTTCACAGACCTGCTTTCCATCGCCGGAAGGGTGGCCAGCGGCTACAAAAGCCTGGGCTCCTGGCTCGTGTGGAGGCCTTTCAGGATTAAATGGTGCTGGCTCCCTGGTTGGTCAACATCGGTCGTGAAAGGTGAGGATATTGTAATCCTCGATCGTGGCTTGACCTTTCGGTTCCTCCAGCTAAACCAAACAATTAAGATCGCGAGTCCGAATTATCCAAACGAGATTGAATCAGAGAAACTGTTCCAAATTCGTTTTCACTCTTAATGCGAGAACTCGACCGAACCAGTGATAATTTTGTTGACAAAATATTTTCGTCTTTTTTTTCGTCACGAAAATATATTTACAGACGAAAATGAATCAAAATTTCTAAATGAAAGCTTGGAAAAAGACAAAGACGGTAATTAAATTGATTGAAACTTTTAGTCAACGAATGAAAGACGAGACGAAAATCCACGATGACGAATACCTAATCAGAAGACAGGAAAGATGCATGATGCAAATAAAAGGTCCAATCATCAAATTGAACAGGCGGGACTAGGTGAGTAGGAAATTACTTCATTAGAAAAAATATATGTACTGTATTTTGTTGACTAAAATTGCTTATTTTTATCGACTACAATTACTTGTTATTTTCATAGACTAAAATGGGACTAAAACTAAAATAAATCTAATGACTAAAATTGGACTAAGACTAAAATTAATTTTTAGCCAAAAGACTAAGACTAAAATAAAATTAAAATTTCCTGTCAAAATTAACACTGGACCAAACACACAGACTTCCGGTTTCACGTAGATAGTCAAAACAAACAAACGGAGTTGCTTTGAAGTTTTACTGTAACGTTTGAGAGCTAATTACTTTACAACTGTAAAGTGCCGGGTTCTGCTAGGCCAAGATGGAAACAGCCACGCAGGGATTTGTGCTTAAGCCGTCCTTTTCTCTGCCACACGAGATCTGAACTTCTGGTTTTATAAACTTTCTTTTTGTCACACCCACATGTATTTCACTCATTAACCACTTGATGGCACTGTGGCTCTTTCAAATAACCTCTGCCTTTCCAACAATGAAAGATCCATGATTGCAATTTTACCAAAGTTGTTCCAGATGGGGATCAAAGTATTACTTTAACCAGAGAAGAACTAAATTTTTTTCTTAAACTGGGCAGTTTCACCATTAGCATGAATTTTAACTGGAGAAACACAAATCGGCAAACATAAAATGGAAAACACAAAACAAGCAGTTTGTAACTGATAAAATTTGAGTATTTACTTAGGGCATTAGAGCAACTTGATTTCTAATGGTGAAGCAAACTAAACATCGTCTTTGATTGTAGCTAAACAGGAATGCAAGGTTTATAAAGACTCAGTTCTTGAACTTCCCAGGAGGACCTAAGAGAAGTTTTACGACTTCCCCCGTCTTGAGAAAAGGGTCAGTCTGAGGTTGATGTAAACCAGGCCAGTTTCTGATATTAGTCCTGCGCCACCTGATTGGCGCAGAAGAAAAAAAAAGACATGTCACTTGTTAAAATTTATGTCCCTGGAAAAAGGTAGGAGATAGCCAGCTCCAAACTCCCCCCGTTACTGAGTGTGAGAGAAAGGAACTTTGTGTGAACCCGACACAAGTTAATCTGGGAATAAGGTGGATTTCTTTTTTTTTTATTTTTTTTTTTACCGTGTCCTGTCTGGCTGTGAAGCAAGCAGAAATGATGTCTGAATGCTGGTGACAAGCCTTACAGATTTATTCTCAGGTGGAGCATCAAAGCGTTTGCTTTTAATGTCACGCCTGATACTTAAAACTTTATTGTTATTGTTGTTGAATGCTTTGTAATTACGACCAGACACGGAGACAGAGGTGAAAGAGAAAGGAAGAGAAAAGGTGGAGAGAGAGGAGGGGGGGGGGGGGGGGTCCACAAAAATAAACAATGAACAAGAGTCTGCTTCTAAACCTGCAGAAAAAGACAAAAAAAAAACAAAAGGACACAAAAAAGGGACACAACAACAATACAACAAGATCTACCTATCACTGCGTCAACTTGATGAAAAAAAAAAAAAAAAAAACTATATATATATATACATATACATATACACACATATACATATATATATATATATATATATATATATATATATATATATATATACATACATACACATAATCAACATTGCTTAACTGAAGAATCACGATAATAAATCACAATGCATTAAGTGCCCCCCATAGTCTTAAGACATGTGTTGAACGTGCCCAAGCCCATACTTTTGAGAGCACCATGTGAGCACCTGTGTGTGTACACGCACTTGTTTATTTAAGGTTTCTCTATAGGAGCGTCCAACAGAGAGTGTGAGGGACCACAGATCCGCCCCCCAAAGATGTGCAGGAGACGGGGGGAGCTCCAAGTCCCAGAGATCCAGGCGTTGCCCCTGAATGCAGTAACCCCAAGGAGACTGCAACCAGAAAGGCCCCCGCCCCCCTCGAGAGGCACAGAGGATCGCCCCGGGGGGCCACAAACAGCAGCCGGCAGAGTCCCTGGAGATATCAGCGGCAAGCCCACAGGCCCGCCCGCAGCCTCCCACCCCCTAGCCGGCCGAGCCCGGGACCCAGCGACCCGGGACCCAGGGGTGACCACCCCCGCCGGGGACCCAGGTGGATAAGGTGGATTTCTGCTACAAACGCCTTGTGGAAAAAGTCTGAAAATATGAACTTTTATTCCCCCGTGGCTGAAGAAGAGAGATACACAGCAAACCGTTTTATTCATGGACAGAAATGATGCAGGTGTAGATCGCATGAAGAGGAGGAGGCGAATGAGGGACAAATTTGTCTGTGTTCAAACGTCTCTCAAATACATTAAAGCAATATAAACACAATAGCAAATGCACTATCATGGACTGTAATGGTGTCAGTACCCCAGAGGAGCGCTACACCCTCTCTTGTCTTGGTGGGGAATTGCTTTGCAACAATTCCAGGTGACGGAGAAGTCTGAAAGTAAAACGTCTGTCAATGTGTGTGCGTCTCCCTTGTAGAGCTTACTTATGAGGCAAAGAGAAAGTAGCTACAAGAGGTCAGAGCCAGATGAAACAAAAACGGGGTTCCCCTGATGGTCTGTTTCAGCCATTTTGTTTCTGTGATTTAGGTCTTTTGGCTGAAAACAGAAAATGCACTTTTGGGTCATATTGGTTGCATTTTGGGTGCATCCCTAATTCTGACACCTTGATCCTTCCCAACAGGTGACATTCAGGGACAAACCTTTATCGTTCTACTTTAAAAACATGGTGGCCAAAGAGAGCTGCTCACAGGTTAATGCTGAGCGGGATTCTTCTCCATCTTGGCTGGTTCCAGGTCAGTTTTCACATCAACACACAGCAAAAAGTTCATTTTTTTTACCTGATTAACTGAACACTCAGAAAAGAAAACCAAAAAACCAATAGGGCCGTGGAGCATAACGTGCGATATGGGTGCAACCTGGTCAGCGCCATTTTCTTGTCCTAACTAAGTCACCCTGAGTACTGAGGAACAAAGGGATAGCACCCTTACGAGAAACATCAGCAATGGTTTGGATTTGCTGATGAGAGATTGATAACGTACAAATATCTGTATGAAAACAACTCTTGAAAAAGTATAAGTACTGAGTGTACTTCTTTATTTTAGTAAAACTAAGAAGTTCAGAATATACAATAAGTATAGAAGATAAAAATAAATTCACCTTAAACACAAAATAACTCAAGGATTGGATTGAGTTTTTTATTTGAGAAAAATAATAATTTATTCACATTTACAAAGAAAATATCACTTGCTTGTGTTCACAGGCAAGCATGCTTATGTGCTCCTATCCCGGTCCTCCAAAGGCTCCACATCTAAATAAATCATTGTGTAACCAACCTGTATGCATGGTAACAACATTAGTTTCACACCTACAGGATTTCTATCCCCCCTCTATAACTGAAGCTAAGTGGAAAACTAAAACAACAAAAGAGAATGTTCTAGACCAGGCATCGGCAACCTGCGGCTCTTTTAGCGACTCCTAGTGGCTCCCTGGAGCTTCTTCAAAAATATATGAAAATGGATCAGGGGATATATTTTTTGTTTTAATGTGGTTTCTGTAGGAGGATAAACATTCTTAACATTTTCCAATGCCGTAAAATGTGCATAATAAATCTTAAAATTCAACATTTCTTTCAACAAAGATTTGCGTCATAGCCTGCGACACACGTTTCAGCGCGGCGCTGTGCCGGACAGGTGGCTATTGTAAACAAACCGGCGTGTGCCAGAGCCATGGATCCCAAAGGGAAAAAGAGAAAGATAGCTGATGAGAACAGTGGATTCAAGGATGAATGGACCGAATTATTTGCTTTCATTGCCAATGCGGAAGGATTGCCTGCATGTTTGCTTTGTAATGAGTTGTCGAACAACAAAGTCATTTGGAACGACATTTCCAGGGAAGGCATCTTAAATTTGCAGCTGACTACCCAGTTGGTAGTGAGAGAAAAAGTGCAATTGCAGTACTCCTGGAGAAATTAAAACAGCGCAAAAGTAGATTTTAGAACTGGATTACATCTCCAAACTTCACTACTGCTGCAAGTTTTGTTGCAACCCGAGAGATCATAAAGCGTGGAAAACCGTTCACGTATGGTGATTACCGTACTTTCCGGACTATAAGTCGCACTTTTTTTCATAGTCTGGCTGGTCCTGCGACTTATATACCAAAGTGACTTATATACCAAATTATGTATACCACGCTGCTGCGGGCCGGCTCCGGCCCAGGTTTCAGCTCCTCTGCCCTGCCATCACCTGCTGGAGACTGTGGCGCGCTGCTGTGGGCTGGCTCCAGCCCAGGAATGAGCTCCTCCACCCCGCCATCACCTGCTGCAGCCTGTGGCAGGGTGCTGCGGGCCGGCTCCGACCCAGGAATGAGGTCTCCCTGCCCGCTGGGAGGGTTTGAAACACCGCCGTCCTCTGCTGGAGACCGTGGCACGCTGCTGCGCCCTGGACCCCCCCCACCCACCCACCCAGGCTGCAGCTCTCCCCGCCTGCTGCCAGGGGTACACATCCAGCCATCACCTCAATGCTCCTCAATGCCTCAATGTTGCATCAGCATACCGCTGATGCAACAGCTGGTTCTTTATTCTGTTATTGTTACCGGTACTTGTCTTGCAATGTGAAATGCTTGGTCTCAGATTTTGCAAGAAAAATAATAAAAAATTTCCCCCCAAAATGTGACTTATAGTCCAGTGCGACTTATACCTGTTTTTCTTTCTTCTTCATTATACACTTTATGGCTGGTGCGACTTATACTCCGGAAAATACGGTACATGAAGGAGTCGTTCATCAAAATATCAGAGCACCTATTTTCAGACTTTAAAAACAGAATTGAAATAATCCAGAAAATTAAAGACATGCCTCTCTCTGCAAAGATGGTGAAAGAAAGAGCCATTAAAATGACAGGCGACATTACCAATCAGCAAATCAAAGATTTTAATTCAGCTCCATTGTACTCAATTGCCTGTGATGAGTCATGTGATGTGATCGATATCAAACAGACAGCGTTGTTATGCAGGTGTGTAAACTACGATGGGCCGCAAGAAGAAATAATCGAATTAATACCACTGAAAGACAAAACACGGGGGGAGGACTTATGTGAGGCGGTGCTGAAGTGACTTAACTTGGCATTTGCTGAAACCTAAGAGAAGAGGGTAATGCACTTTAATGCCCTGAAATTGAAATTAAACTGGCTTATTTTTGTTTTATATCGCCTACTTACGTTTACAAAAGGGTGGTGTTTTAATTTTACAATTGTAGCCTGTGTTTTAACTGCAGGTGTCTTTTTGCACTCTGCTGCCCAGATGAGGGGAAAAAGAGAAGAGGACTGTATTGTTATTGAGGTTCGAAGAGGACTGCATTTTATTTTCATGAGAAGGTCTAAAATTGCAGGAAGCTTATGCACAGCCCATTCTGTTATTTTGTTCAAATCCTCAAAATAACAATGACACAAAAACTGATTTCTTTACTGTATTTCTTTAATTTCATCAGTGCAACAAAACAAAATACATCAATACTGTAAAGGAAGTTAAACTTTAAGCACCAAATATTGTACACCAGAGTAGTCACGTGGTGTGTCATTCTCTCAAGGATGCACTGCAGGGAAAATAAACATTTATTCATGAATGCTCATTATGTATTTTTTAGCCCACTTAGTAATTTTGATAGTAGGTTAATATAGCTAATATACACTTACAACCTGTGTTGCCTACATATAATGCTCATATAAGGCTTCCAATGTCTTGCGGCTCTAGACAGATTAGTTTTTTTTTTTTTTGGTCCAATATGGCTCAGAACATTTTGGGTTGCTGACCCCTGTACTAGACACACAAAGTTTTGTTGTTTCCTTTTGCTCACAGTCCACACTGAACTGGTGAAGATTAACTACAACTACAGCCAAGGTCCAACTAGGTGAAGACAATAGCATCCTGTCAGGATAACATAGATTTACCCAAACAGGGATAGCAGGAGCAGACACTTATTTTTGCTTTACTTCCATTGGAATTAAATAGTTTTGTTTTGAACAATTTTAAATTCAGTAACATCATTTAATACAGGAATTAACTCATCTGTTCAAAACTACATAAACCTTTAACTAAGCCTCATCAGAAGCTGGTTCAGTTCTAATCAATACGAAGTCCTTAACATGTGCATAGTCCTTCATGCCCCTCTATGAAATCAACTGTGATAAAGTTTAACTTAATCCTTGCATTGTTAATACTGCAATATTTAGTTTAGATCACAAAGTTTATGAGTAGATGTTCACTGACATCCTTTGCATGTCTTGATCAAGGCCGTGAAAGACGTGGAATTCACAGCCAGAAAAGACACATTTATTGAATTTCAAATGTCAAATGCATAGCTCAATTAGTAACCCACCTGATGCAGGGGACCCGGGTTTGAATTCAGCCCGGGGCATATAAGATTTTTGCTCAGATGTACGGTACATTGGAATTTATTTTTTTACAGTAATACAGTAAAAAGACACCCAAGTTTCAGTTTTGTTGATGGTGGCAGCAGGGATAAATATTGAATTAAAGAACATTACTGTCAGATCATACAACTGTAGCGTAATGGTTCTTGGCTCTTTAATGAAAAATGAACCATTCTACATAATAATCTGGAATATTAATTTTAACAAATTAATAACCCAATGTTATAGAGATAAGAAGACTCAAAAGGTTGTTTTCATCGATAAACTGACGATCATATCCGTTTGTGTTTCAGTTCAATGAAAAGGCAAGTTTAAATTTTAAGAGATTTAATTCTTCAATTTAAACTAACGATTTGAAATGACAATCATAAGAAAAACAATCAACATTGGCAACCTTGTTGGACAATCTTTAACAGTTGATATTTTAAGCTTGCTCAAATAGACCTTGTGTTGGATGTGCTAAAATTTGAGGATGATGGAATCATGAATGCGTGCATGCAGGTGTCTGAGATTGCTTCAGGGAGAGGGAAGGTGAACTGAGTGAAAAATGATGTTTTGCAATTAAATTTTAGTTCTTATTAGAAAAACAGCATCAGAACGCTATCTGGTCGTGTTCTGCCTCACCGCATTTAGGACCCTCTTTTAGATCCGGACCTCAGTCAGGAGGATGTTTCTCCAGATGACACCTTGGCTGACAGAGAAGACGAAGGTGTGCGACGGTCCAGTCCAGAGTTGACCTCGGTACACGTTGCTGAAGCGTTTCGGCAGATGCGCTTTCTCATGTTTAAATTAACTCAGAAATCAAAAGACTCTGGGACGAGTCTGCGTTAGCGGGTTGCATTTCAGCTATTCTGTGGTGGGAGAAAAGGAGCCTGCCGGGCTCCTTTCCCCGTGGCGTTCGTTCCGCACCCCAGCTCTCTCCGTTCCGTTCTGTTCTGATCTTACTGAAAAACTTCTCTTCCCAAAGCAAACTTGTTGTGCATCAGAGCAAATGTGTTTTGAAGTTACTGTGGATCTGGACCTGTATGAGCAGGTGTGAAGGTCATCGCTAAACATCTTCAAAAACATTATTTAATTAAGTATACTGATTCATTATAGTTCATTATGATTACCCAAAGCATAATAATCATTCATTTGATTAAAATACATTTATAATGAGCAAAGTGATCAAATGATTATTTAGCATTAATAAAATACAGAAGCTTAAGACTCTGTTTTATTATGACTAGACTGTGTGTGTGAAGTCTTTCTTCTGGAGCGCAGGTGTTCAGCTGTTGTGGAGTCCTTCAGACTTGCTGGCGGCTTAGGTCTTAATCTGTGGGTGAAGGTGCTGCGTGACCCAGCTTTGACCCAGCCGGGCAAATACGACCTTTGGCACAGAAACCCATACTTCGTCACGTTACACAATGTACAGGGACTAAAGTGGGCTATACTGAGGCAGATAAATTATGACACACTGTAGTGGACAAGCTCTTGGATACGTGTGATATATTGTGCATTCAAGAAACATTTTTATCTAAGCAAGAGCTAAGGAAACTGAACTATCTGCAAAAAGACTTTTATGGGGCAGGGGAATCTACCATTGACTGTAAGGGGCAGAATACCTGGAGGAGTGGCTGTTCTGTGGCATAAAGGTACGATCAGCTAATCAAAGTCATCAGGCTGGAAGTAGACAGGCCTATAGGTCTTCAGTTCAATTGTGGTGATAAGAATTTTGTCATGCTAAACACCTTATGAATGTCCTAATAATGAAGAATATCTTAATAAGTTGGCCTTCATTACATCATATATCCAGGACAACCCTCTCTCATGCCTTTTCATAGTGGGTGATACGAATGCTGGTGTGTCTAATGGTAATTCTATAGTCACTTAAAACAGTTCTGCTCAGATAATGGGTGTACTCTTTCCAGCCAAGTGTTACTGCCTGTACACAGTTACACCTTCATCAGCGAAGCGTGGCACACAACCTCATGGCTGGACCACTGCATCTGTGCATCTGTGTGCACAAGCACCGACAGACTTCACTGTTGAGTATGTAGGTCCTGGAGAGGGATATTTTAACAAGACTGGAGGAGTTTGTTATCCTGTCTGTCATACAGTTTGGATTCAAAACCAAATTGGGCACAGACATGCGCATGTTTGTACTGAAAGAAATACTTGACCTGTATTAGGGCTGCTCGATTTTGGCAAAAACAATAATCACGATTATTGTGACTGAAATTGAGATCTTGATCATTTAAGACGATTTTTCAATTTATGTTGATTTTATTTGTTTTTATTCAGTCATAAAATTGCTCAGGGCACAATCAGGACAAAAATAAATAAGAAACAAGATGATCACTAAAATAACTCCTGATTCCCAGTATAAAATAAACAATATACGTATAGCTCATAGTTTATGACCCAAGGGCTACAGTGGTGCAAAAAAGTAGTCAGCCACCGATTGTGCAAGT